CGATACAAGCCAGCCTAATTATGCATTTTCCACAGGTAGCGCCTGCGCATTGCATTGAAGTCCCACCGCTTACCTCTCCTTCCTCCTTTTGACGCCGATCCCATTTTTCTTACTCTAGAGGGTGCATATGTTTCTGGTAGAGCTAGTATCGTCCTCACTGTTCGTCGGCCCGTCGACCTCAATGCTGCCTTCTGAAGGCCACAAGCACGCTCTCAGCACAGTCACCCACGCCATGTATAGGACTATTAAAAGATGAAATGCTCCACTGTTGAAGCCCAGTATCATGCAAATATGACCTACCTCTCAATTACCCCAGGGCTTGGTGCCCATAGTTTCATTTTGCCTCGTCTTGTGTGCCACTGGAAAAGCGCCACAAACTGTTTACGTTGGATCTTTGCGGCTTCCGAAGAATCACTCTTCACCAAGCACTGGCGTTTGTAGGATAAGAGCTCTAGTGACAGCTTTCCTTGTGCACGCTTCCTTAATATTGCCGTATCCTTTTTTCTTGGCGACCTGTGGGCAAAATCTTCATGAAACAGCCTGCCATACTTCGTCCAGCGTCCGGATATGCATTGAAAAGGAAGTAAGTTTGCCCAAGTAGCCACCACCGCCGTGCAATCTTGCCCAATCTCAACACCATTACATGTTTAAACAGCAGCCTTCGGGTGCATACTGAAAAGAAATTGTACCTCCGTACAACCAATGAATTCATCTAATGCCCCCGCACCGCTGCATCCGCCATATATGCATGGTTGACACAGGTGTAGACTCTTTTCGCTGGATGGACTGCGGATACCGCACTCAATCTAACTCGGCTAGATCACCAGTCGCTGCTCGTCTCTCCTCCAGAACGCAAGAATATCAGAAAAGATTCGCTTTTTAAAGTAGAAACGCGTAAAAGACTACGTAGTGATTACGCCATATCATCCAGCTGTGAGGTGGCGTGAGTATCTTCTCCTCGCAACCATACGGCGCCACCAAACGTTCCAACCTAGCATTAGGCTAGAAGCTTTGTGGGATACAATGGAGTGGAGTAATTTATATGAACTCTTTCACAAAGAGCCTATTGCCTCCACTCCCCTAGAATCATGAACGCACTGGAAGAGGCTGTTGAGACTGGAGGTGAGAAGACGTACCTCATCTGAGGCAACACTTCTTCTGCAGCTCCTACCGCAAGGCAAGCGCATCCCCAAGCATGCACAAGCTCCCTTTTTGCACAGGCATTAACGCCGTGGAGAATAGCTAAGAACCTTCGTGGCTTTCATTAGCCACTAGATAAGCAACTACTGATACATTTGCGGGCCTCTGACAGATTTCGTCTCGACAACTATATGCATGCACTGGAGGGGGCTTGGGGTTTGGGCATGCTTGCTTGCTTGTGGGGTTGTCTGCACGACAGCAGTTGCAACAGAAGGTGCTTCGGCTCAAGACATGCCTACCTGACGAGGCCTAGCAGCCAGTGCCGCTTCTCTCCGGAGACCTGAAAACCGGGTGGACTGAATGCTTGCTGAATGCTTGTTTGACTATCATCCCGCTCCAGTGCTTTCGCATCATTGTGCCTCTTTAGGTCCCTACACTATGGCCGAAGACTGCCGATACAGGTGGAATCAAGGGGATTTTTCGCTCGAAAGACAATCTCTCTTTGAGGGGACTATGCTTCTTTCTTTGCGAGGACTTGCGACACCACCAGGACAAGGAATACGCGACCACACAGATAGTGGGGAGTCAGAGGCAGTCAGGCTTGCAGTGACTACTCGAAATTGTTTGGCACTACTGGGGTCAACTACTGAGGCCACAACATGGTTCAGCCTTTGGCTCAATCTTCTCTGGTATCGTCTCTCGCCTAATTTCAGCCTCTTGAACTAGCGCGTCGACACAGCCCTGAGCCGTCCCTTCCAGCCCTAAAGGGCTAGCACGTGTGGCTTCTCTACCAAAAATTTCACCTAACAGTAGAAGGGATCAAGCATGGAGAGCTATTTTTCATCTCTAACCAGCCTCCTGCACGTTAGAAGCGTCCGGCACAAGCTCACAGACATGGCGTTGTGCAGAAGACCCCAGTACTGCACATGAAGAAATTCCCGACAAACTTAGAGCGAAATTTTTCCATTACTTAAAATTGGTGCTTTTAGCGAGTGTAAAAAATTTGCTTTAAATTTCTGTGGGGATTTCTTGTGGATTCAGCAAGATTACTCAGTGGGACATGAATCCTGCTCCCTGCCGCCGCGGGATCGTAGGTGCCACTAGATGCAGGATATAGTAGTGGAGTGGATGAGATTCACGTTCCCATTGTAATTTTCTGAATAGGAGATGATGAAACCTGAAATCATGATGCAGTGCTGACATCTGTACATTCTAACCTAGACAAGCAGGGTATCGTTGCGTGTGGGATGTGGCAGGCCCAAGATATAGCCATACCAGGTTCTCTAGTGAGTCGGTTGCTTGTTTGCAATAATAATACTGAACGATTAAGAAATAAACACAAAAATTCGTGCTATCAATGGTGGAAAGGCGGTTCACTACAATGTTGCAAAAAGGGGTCCATCCCTGTTCACCAGGAAACGAAACTGAAGGCCTCGACAGCATGTGCCGGTCAAAATGAAGAACTCTGAGGAAACGTATAGGCCACATTCCATATTGAAGGCGAGCTCCGACTTGGATGAATACACCACGTAGGCAAACAGTCACTGCACTTCACTTTTCACTTACGGCTGCCCATCCCCATACTGATTTACCTCTCAATTCAGTGTGCCTCCACCTGCAGAAGCTCACTGCACCGAATATTCCACCATGATCTTCACCAAAGAATCTTTGTCAGCGCAATTCCAACAGCTCAGACGAAGTTCTCTGCGGAAGTGCTCGAATTTTCAGGCCACTGCACCCAAGGCCAGCATGATGGAAAGCTGCACTGGCAATCTCGCACTGTGTTTGTGAGCTAGCCGCACACCTCGCTCATAGACCATTTCCTTGCCTATGTGCGTCGGTTGGGATTTGCTATTTTCAACTCGTACTGTAGCTCTTGAGCTATTCTTGCCTCTTGACTAATAAGCAAGCCAACGGGGATGCAGTTCCCTGTCGCGTGCCTGAGCGCGCCGACATAAAGGAACATGAATGGCGCAATGCTTTTTAAACCGTCTTTTGTGCTTATCCCCCACAAGAATAGAACCACCAACAGGACGTTAAAGTGCCTTGAATTTCCTTCCCGTCATTCACTTGTTAGCGTTTCTTTGCAGTAGAATCACACGTATTTGCCAAAAAATTGTGGCTTTAGAGCTGCTGTAGTGGCCACACTCCAGTAGCTCCCGGCTCCACTTAAATGAAACGCTTGATCATACTGCATCTCTAAGGAAGGTTGCTTTTAGCTCCAACAATACTGCGCCACTAGCCACTCCAGCGGCAACGATAACGCCCGCCACCGCAGCAATAGCGGCACCACCAAACAGAAACTTAGGACCCGCACACTGGGAGGTGCATGAAGAGTGAGAAGTCCATCAGAAGCGTGTCAACAGCATGTCACTAACGAATATGTGAGCCGCATGCTTAGCTGGGATACCGGGCTCACCAGATACTGACACAGCACTCCCAGCAGTAGCAGTGCCGGCAATAGCACCAACCAGAACTCACTAGCCTGGCTCGCAGCAGCCTCCAACGAGCTTCTCGCAGCACCTTACAGGCCGCTGTTGGTCGTGCTCTCAGAGTCAATGCATTGGGCAGCATTTGAAGCAGGAGATTGCGTTTGTGCACGCACTCTCTTGCATTCACGGTGGCGAAGTGTCCAGCAGAGGCGAAAGCCGCTCGCTTGCTGGTGCGCGAGCAGTGCAATACTCGTGCCTATTGGGTTTTCAGCCCCGCTTGCCAGATTGACCAGGCCGCAAATGCCAATCTGTCGGGAGAATCGTTATGGAGTCCCTTAATGCTCCCTCGGTACCTTTGCGCTCTACCTGATTGTGTTCTTGCTTCGGCGTGCTGTTAAGGAAGCAGCTCTCCCTTACGCTGTTAGGGGCTCCCAGAAAGGTGGTGCACCAAGGTGAAGCGCGATGTAGTCAGTCCTGAAATGTGATTCCGGTGCACTGTAGAGGCACCAGCAAGCGCTCCATCCTTCGCTTGATCATGTTTATTAAGGCGACAACTTAGTGCCAGATGATCATCTCACCAAGCTTGCTAGTCGTCCACCCAATGCCAGCCCCGCCTTTCTACGCATTGTTTGAATAAAGGAACCAACGAATTTTCTTCGTGCCATCTCGCCTTTGGTAGATCAGTTCTACCCTCTCCCCACCTGAACCCCAGAAGCACAAATCAGGCTTGAAGGACACTACGGGCGGGCGTCTCGCCTCCTGTCCTGAACCTTCGCATGAAGGAGTTCTGTTGTTCCGATCCTTCGCTGTCGTGAGGCAAGCAGCCGACTAGGTGAGCTCGTACTGAGCTCTCATGAGGAAACTTGAGATGGAGACAACCAAAAGCGACAGCGATCAGATGATACTGTTGGCAGTGTACAGCCGATAGGAATGGCAGCACATCTTGCCACAAGAGCAAGAGCTACCCAAGTAGTCGTTACGAACAATCCCGGATACTAACTATTAGTACCCTACTTGGTGAGTATAAAGGCCACCGAATCTCGTTATGCATTGTAGGGCAAACTTGCTGCAAACTTGCTGTAAGCTCGGCACTATATTCGTAGCACTTATAAGGCGAATGCATGCACTGTTTCTTTAACTATAAGCAACTGGTGCTACCACCGCTCCCACGGGCCTACATGACTTGTAGATCAATAACTCAAACTGCATCGTTTGGCCTAGGTGTACAGTCGAGCACCCGTAACTTGTTGAAGTTACACTAGCGTGCCACCAGAGAAAGACTGGTGGTCACTTGCTTTATACATGTAAACAATACAGATGCGCGGCCGTGGCCACAGACAACGCGTGGACAATAAACCATTATATTTCGGTCCCAGGAGAGCAGGTGGCCTTTAATCGACGCGCAGACTCTTTAGCTAACCCTCGAGCTTATTCATCAAAACCCTCAACGATTCGGGTGAAGACCTCATCATCTTTTTCCCATGCTGTCCAAATAGGGTCATCGAAAATACTGGAGCTTTTCAAGTTGGCCAGGATCTGCCGCTTTAAATAAATTACCTCTTTCAGGGGTGGACGCGTTCCCGTCTTGTAGATATCCACCGCAGCACTCAAACGCTGCGCAAGCATACCTAACTTTTCGGTAGAACGCCGGGCTCTCGCCTGTGGTACGAAAGTGTATTCCGTCGTGAAGCTCTCTGCAAATGAATCCCACCAGGTGTTGGCATTCATTTTATCCCCTAGGACTGCGATCGAACTCACCAGGGCGTCAAATACCATGAGCAACGCACCCAGCCTTCTAGCGGCGTAGAAGGCGTTCAGTCTAGACGGGAAAAGGACTATCTTCATCCTGGCATAGGCGATCAAACATGCGCAATCCGCCATCAGTTCCCCGACGTCGGCGGCGCTTAGCGAAGCCTTCGAAAATATTTTGCGCATCGAAGCAAAACTGCCCAATGGACTGCGCCCAGAAAATTTTGCTGTCAAAGCGTTAAACCCATCGAAGGAAGTTAAAATATCAGTGGGAACTTGCTGTGGAAGCCGCACGAAAGGATGATAACGGGTCTTGTCTTCCTCGGTCAGTTCCCCTTCTGCAACCTTCTTTTGCAACATTTCATTGAAACTTTGAGTTCCTGTTCCCGGATCCACTTCTCGTTGGTCCCCCCCTTTTTTCGACGTGCCCTCTTTAGAACGTTTTCGCCTCCCGCGTCTTATGCTAGAACGTAAGGGTTCTCCTTCTGGTCCCTGTTTCAACACTCCGGTGGAACTTGGGTCCGAACCTGCCGGAATCCAATCCTCATCACTTAAACCTTTGCTGCCAGTGCCTGAAGCGTCTCTTGACGTGGATGGCGAGGATGTTTCATCTGCCTGTGAGGAAACTGATGCGCGGGCTCTCCTCAGTGCACGTTGAGCGCTACCTTCTCCCCCTAGATCTCGGTTCGGGCTTCTCGGCGGTTCAGCTTGCGCGTAATTGCGGGCAGGTACTTGACCACCCTGACCGTGAAAAGAGAAGAAGACTCTACGGAAAGCAGGGTTTTTGGGAGGAGTCCTCAGCAAAGAAACAAGCCAGGGAAACGAACCCGCAGGAGAATTGTCATCGGAATCCCCAGCTCTATATGCTTCTTCTGGAGGAGCATCAAGCGGTCCTGTCACCCCTCTATACCCTTGAACGCCTCCTAGCTGCAGGGTCATCAATGCAGTGCTTTCCTCTGGAAGAGGTTGTTCATACACAGAAGACGCATGAGGGAACCCAAATGCCCCAAATGCCCCCGCTTGCAACGCCTGTGAAGTACCCACCTGCCCACTTTCATACGTTTCTGCGGATTCTTTCAACATGAAGAACAGCCTAGCCTTCTTCGCCGCTGGCTCCTCATCAAAAGCAGAAGCACCAGGTGAAAAGCCAGCCTCCTCCCATAACTCTATACAATCCTCTAAAAGCTTGTCAAGGTCCTCCTCCTCCTCTCTGTCCGACAAGCGCCGTTGCATCAGATGTCCGGTTTTCCTGCTGTTTTGGGTGGCCCTACAGTATACCAGCAATGCAAGAGTCACCACAAGGGCAACTGTGGAAGCCAAAACGTAGACATAACTCCAGGCATTGTGGTGGGGTCTACGCCGTCCTAATCCCGTCCCTGGTTTGGGCAGAAGCTCGCCTGAAGGCGCTGTTTGTAGAGAGGATACAGCGTCCAGTGAGCCGCCTGCATTATATGAAGGCGGAGAAATGAGAGTGTTTTGCGCGTTTTCCCATTCTGGCGCGCCTGCCGTGCCCATTGTAGGAACAAGCATTTCCGCAATGGGACGACAAACAATTCAATATGACTGCACTACAGCGGTTTTACAAACACCCAAATAAATTTGCACATCTCTAAAATCCGCTTGCTGTTCTAATGCAGTTCTATGCAGTTATATGTGGCCCGCGCAATCCGGGCGCCCGTGACAAGAAACCAAGGAGGGGACGAAGGGGGCGAGGCAGCACTGTGGTGAAACCCAGGCGTAGTTGTGAGCTCGGGAAATTTAAACCGTTGAGCCCTTTCTATATTCATGTTACAAATAGACCCTGAGGGAAAGGGTATCCAATGAAATGACTTCTGCTCGGCGCACGATGGGGTTGTGCATGGCAAGAATCGTTACGAGAGCTTTGAACGTCGAGGGCCCACCTTTTCTAGATGGTACACTGATGAACTGAGTTTTACAGGAAAGTAAAGTGTAAATATGCATTTGAACTGGCGCGTGCCACCGCACCTCTTTGTTCACTCAAATGCCAGGAGGTCAAGCAGTGAACTTGTGGGAGGATCCAGCCCTGCTCACGATGGAAGACAGTAGGCGATCCCCGGGCATTTCTGATGGGCAGACCGAAAGACAGTTAGCCACCATGATTTAAGTGACTCTTCGTCAATTTATTAGTGATATTTTTGTTGGCTGGCCTTCAACCCCTTCCAACGTGCTCGATTACAGCTGGAAGTCCGCACGTGCATCGACTTCCGGCCAATTCCTTGGTGCAGGCTGGCTACTGAGGGTCAAGTAAGTAACTGGAAGTTCGCTACAGTGATAGTGAGTGCAATAAAAGACACTGTTAGTTATTCTTGGATATGGGGTTGCCTTGCTGTAGGCGTAGTGCACCGTACCGGCACTACAATGGCGCTCAAATCGGTCCTATGGCGGCCTATCGGGCAAAAAGAGTAAAACTAAGATCTTAATAGAAATGAATCAAATAACATTAGACAGAAAAATAAGCCTTGAGGCTTAGGCTGGTAGGCGATGACCCAGGTCAGGGCCAGTGATGTTGACACTGCCCCCCAGGCCCCAGCCCGCTAAGGGGACACGGGGGGAATTCTATTAATCATGGTTTTCCCTTTTAAGTATATGGGACTCGAATGCGATTTTGAAGGGTTCCTCCCGTTATTTTGGTTTATCAAGGGAAGATTCGCCAAGTGTAGCGATAGATATGCAATGTGCACCTAAGTAGGTGTGCATAGGGTAGCACGCAGCAACAGCTGTGGGTGAGAGCTGTTCACTACAAGCATGCTCTGTAACATTGTCTACTCCAAGTTGCTAACTGAACACCTACTTGCCCAGAGTAGGCAGCCTTTCACGCAATAAGTAGTACAGCAATTTTCTCAGGTGTCTGAACTGCCAATGGAGCGAGCAAAATGGGGTTTCTTTGCACGTGCACGTCAAGGTGCCTTGCGGCATTAATTGCAACGAGGTGCGTTCTAACTCAAGTCATGCTGCATCCTCAAACCCACATATAATCCAATGGACCGCTATACCCAGAACGTCTACGACTGGATGCCCGCGGCGCCTCTGTAACACTTACCTTAAGTCTTTTGGCTTGCTTGTAGCCCGAGTCGGTCCTCCCATTAGACCGCTGACTCTCCTTGCATAGTTTGGAGCAGCATGGCTTGACTGCAGTTGGTACGTGTATTTCTACTTGGGTGCAGGCCAGATGCCAGTGGCCAGGTACGTGCTTAACAGTTCTCCAAAGTGGTTTTTTCTTGCGCCCCAAGGGGCTTCGTGATACTTGCCTGTGTGGTCACCATTTGCAGCAGGAGATCTGATATAGTGAGGGTCCACGAACCTAGCAGAAGACCGCCATGGGCTGTAGTAAGGTCAGAAACATGTTTCCCCATAAAGCATGTGAAGACCTTCTCCCCACTTCCAGGCGTCCTGAGCACAGGGGCATAAGTGTGGGACTGGTGGCCAGCGTAGGCGGCCTACATCAGTTGGAGGATCCCATTTTCCAGCTCCTTCTGTAAGGCATCAACGAAAGCCGGGCCTAACGGCGGGCCAGCCAACAGTATTTCCAGTACAGAAGAGGTAGTAGGGGGCACTGTTGCATTATAAACGCATCCTGCGCAAGGGAGGAATTCAAGCTTTGATTAACTCTACTGGTATGGAGTTTAAAATACCGGACAAGCTTGCACTTTGTTGGTTCCGTTTGTAGATTTGCATGCCAGCGGCTCGAGGGGGTCAAGTTGTGGCCCATGTTGATGCCGGGTATGAATTCGCGCACAAAGGCGCTGAGGAACTTTGGGTCCATATCGGTAATGACGTCTTTCGGAAAACTGCGGAACTTTCAAGACGTGATTAATGAATTATTACTCAACTTTTTCTGCCCCAGCTGAGCATCAACAGGGGATGAAATGAGCGATCCTGTTTAATCCACGACGGCACAGGTGCTAGGGCAGCCTCTGAATAAAGAGAAACCCACCATGAAATTCACTGAGATATCTTGGAGGATCCACTAACGGATCAGAAAACTCCGCAAGAATCCGAGTAGGAAACTGTTCTGTGGCTTTAGCTGCTGGCATAACGGCCAGGTGAGGCTATATTCCTTCGCCCCGGGGACCATCCCAGGCTACCCAAAGGACCTAGACACTGGCTACACTGTTGCGTTGACCCTAATATGGCTCACTAGATAGAAACTGTGCATTTCATGCCATACATCTGTGAGAAGTGAAGCTGGAAGGCATATCGGCGGAGCCCGAGTCGCGTCTACTACCACAAGAGATCGCCGCCCATGCTGTAGTGCGTATTTCTCCCCGCTCAGTTCAGCTAAACAAAAAACGAAGCCTTGCGAGCATCTAAGAAGTACGGATAACACAGTTTAGAAAGGAATCGTCGCAGGGGCGCCCATTTTCAGGATACAGTTCCGGAGTGGTAGAGCGTCGAGAGAGTGCCTTGGCCTTCACCTTGGCCATGCGCTCGGCATACTTGACGGAATAGTTGTATTTCTTGTGCCAGCAATGCCACCGAAAAACCCTTTGGTTATCAAAATCTTGCAAACTCTCCCTGAGGCGTGCCAGCAATTTATGATCGATGCGACCGAGACAACGCTTGCCATACGCGTAATCTTGAGATTTCCCTATTCCCACCAAGTCGCATAAAGAGCTCCTTCTTAGGTACCAGATACTTCTGTTCTCTTCGTGTTAAGCGCGGTGTAAGGCGAGCAGTAGAATATTTCGTGCTTTGTCGAAACGTCGGCTTTCTGAATATGCGCCACCCTCACTAATACGTTCCTGGCAATGGCTGTTAGGAAACAAAGTTCTTCGACTTGAGGAAGTTTGAGTGCTGAAGACGTGTTCAGGTGTCTATTGAGGCTCCTGCAGGTTTTTTCTTCGGTGTCTGTTAGAGACGAAAAAGCTTATTATGTGTTGCAACGAACTTCTGTGCAAGTGGCGCTGCAAGGCTAGCCTGCCTGTAAACGCAACCGAACCCCATGTGCTGCAGGTAACACCACCGTAGACAATTTTTAACTCAAAGAGATTTGCCCTCACTAGAGCCTGCACGCATAGAAAATGCACGCACCACCTGCAGGTAGCCCTTGCTAGCTACACCACTTGCGCGCGAGCTGGGCACTCTGGGCCAATTAAGTGCTCATTAATTCCCCAGAATGTTAGTGGGTGCATCAAAAGGGTGGTTGATTGCGCTCGGATATAGGAATGCCTTGAGTTGCAAAACTATTTGCTGGAATACGACAGGCAACGTCCTCTCTCCATCAGCCCTGGGCACCTCGAAGCCGCGAAGCCGGAGTGGCGGCCAACTTAATTTTGGAAACTCTTATCTTGAGCATTTTGACACTGTTGGGCGTTCTTGGCTAAAGTTGAGGGCTCTCCCTACTTGGAAAGCCTTACCAGCAACAGCACAATTTAAAGTATTACAAGGGGGATTGTTGCTACCAAAGGAGAATAACGGGAGACTGTTAAAGGTTGTCATCAAGGTGACAAAATTCGTTTTCTACCTACAAGGAGACTGGCAAGAGCTGTTCCGAATACGCGGTATTGGGAAGGAGGGACAGAGTGGGCCAGCTGCAGCGTATGCCATTCAGTACCAAGGGCGTGCAACGACTGCAACTCGTTGCAAGGACAAAATCTTCGCCAAGAAAGTTCCACGGCTGCCTAGGTCTAGCATTTTAGTTCAGCATGACGTCCCGTGAAATTTCACTCTGCCGATCGCAAAACAGATTTCCCAAGGGAAGCTGGCTGTTTCCGGTCGATCGCGGGGCTCACTGGTTCGGCGGTAGCCCCCAGGTTAACCGAGCTAGGTGAACATGCTGTGCATTGCTCCCACAAAGATGATAAGAAGCACCACGAAAATATGATGCATCTAGTTCAACGAAGGTTTTTACTATTCGGCGTGTCTAATTAGAACACTTCGCACGTGAGCATGCAGGAACTTCCTCCATGCTTGTCTGAACGGTGCTAACTCGGCGACCCCTGCAGCCCTAGCACTGCTGTGTGTGACTTGCCCTTATGGGGGGCTCAAGCTTAACCTTCCTACGTACTTCTGAAATGTCCTATTTTCGGAATATGTTCTTCGTCTATATGTTCATAGTTGGCTGTAGTATCTCCGCACCGACCACATCATAGCATCTTCCGTTTGCTGTGCCGAAGGCGTGCAGCCGCCTATACCCTATTCACCTTCAGTGTGGTCTCACTTGCATGAAGAGGGTAAATATTATTCGTCATTTCTGGCGTTTCTTCTCAAATGTTTTGCCACGGGCAACGCCAAAACAGTTAAGAGGGGCTGCCCAAGGTCTCCACCGTCAGGGAGCAGCATAGAGCGTCCTCCGTGGTTGCTTCCAGTTGCGGTCTGTGACGTCAGCTTTCAGAGTCGTACTGAGCGTTCTATATTTCTTGTCAACGAACAGAAGGGCTGTTGAACCTTGGCTTTGGAAGGTTCAGAAAAGCCCACCAAGACATGTGCTTCTCAACGCCTCTGAATTCATGAGCAGCGGGAGCAGGTATGGAGATAAGGGTTGTTGGAGACAGGAGCAAGGTGATCCAAGAGCTTTTCTCGGGGTTTTATAGTGTTAATAGGAAGGCCAAAATGGTGAGCCACCAGATGTCGCGTATCGTGTGTGCTCGCGTCGCTTGCCGGATTGCAGCTCTCCGAACTCTAGTGTTCTTCTCGCTTTGTAGGGGCTAAAAAAGTGCGGAAATGCTTAAAATAAACAACTTTGAATCCTCTTTTGACTCTGTGTAACTTCAGGTGCTCGATCTTCTAGGCTTCAGGTCAGCTGCAGCTTTACCAGAGCACCTTCACGCGGCAGTGCTGCAAGTGCTGCTGATGGGGCACGCGGGCCCCTCCTGCAGGAGACGGGTAGCTCCACTTGTAAGTACGGGAGCAACAGCCCAGCCGCTCCTGCTGAGAAGTGAGGGATGTGTTATTCAGTGTCTCTTCGCTGATTGGCTTACAAAGACTAGCAAATGGCTCAAAGTACCGCGCTCTCGTTACGTCATGCTTCTCTCAGTTGCTCCTAAGCCTGAACCGAAGGAGGGGCAACAACTGCTAATTAGGAGCACAATCAGCGAGCCAACAGAGTCTGTTGGGGAAGAAGCTCCGCAAGCACCAGGAGCACCAAAGGAGTTCGAAGCACTAGAGCGGAGGAACGAGCAGAAACCCTTCCCGCAGTTGCTTCTTGTCACCTTCAAGGCCCCTCAGGAGCCCTTCTCCACAGACGACCATGAGTCTGCTGATTCATGCGCCTGGTACAGGGCTGAGCCTTCAGAGGTCTTCTCTATTGACAGTACTCACGTACGCTCCACATTTTGCCTTCAGGACCGTTGGACTTTACTATGTCAATCCCCTGCGTGCGATGAACTACTTACTGCTTAGCCTCCATCTATGGCGTCTATCGATATATGCGCATGCCTGTGCTTTCGTGGCATTTCAGAGAGCTCTCTGCCAGCGCGTCCCGTGTGGAAAGAAGACTCAGCTTGTCTTGGTGAGCCTCTTCACTCACCATAAGGATCGGGGTGTTTTGGACGCCCAGCAGTTGCTTATGATTTGCGTAATAATGCCAGTTTCTCGTTTCTTGTTTCCGCACCAAGGGATCTAACGTCAGGAGCGTCTGTATATGTATGGCCTCCCAAACTTCTTCCTCAGATTGTTGAAGGTTTGGGTGGTCGGCTTCTTGTCCTTGGAGAGGTTTCTCGCGCGGCTGCATCTTCTTCTGGTACCACAAGAGTTCAGGTTTCTGGCTTGTCTCCACTGGAACAGCTTGCGCATCGCATAAACGAATCAGCCCCCCTTTGTGCTCCCCCAAGGACTCCCCGATGGCGGAGGCTGTTGCAGGTGTTTACTGCCACAGCAACAGCAGTAGATTTAGGGGAATCAATGGCCATCCCAGCATTTGGATCCAACAGCGTGGAACAACGCCGAAGCGTGGATGGAGCACTTTTGAGCGACGCCCAAAGCTCAGCCGTATATTGGCAAGTGAACTGCACAGCCTCTGAAGAAGCATGCTATCCTGCGACGCGTGCGGAGGAGCAACCAACAATTTCTCTGGTAGCTCTGCTCCTCCGATTCTCGATTGCCGCGTGCTTTGCCATCTGCCGCCAATTGACATTTGCAATGAGGCATTGTAACATACGCTCTGTAGTGCCACGGGGGTCGCGTGCAGGGAGAGGCACGGTTGAAACAACAGATATGCTAGATGGCTGCAACGACTGTGGCTCGGACCCAAGCAGCAACTATGGCCTCCACTGCACCAGAAAAGGCCCTTTGTGTGGTTGCGCACGCCGTGAACAGTACGCCAGAATTAGCAGCGGCCAACGTACTTCAAGTGCGTGCGTAGCTCGCCCTCAGCGCACGCTGAGGCAGCTTATTGATGACCAGCAACGCTCTCTGGCGGCACTTGCAGTGGGGGAATATCGGCGGAAAGTTGCATTGGTGAACCACGAGTACCAGATGTCTCGCCAGCAAGCGTCAAGGGCCCTAATGGACGAGCATGGGCAGCTGTTTCCTCAGGTTCATCTGCAGTTTAAGCAAACCTTGTTTCTCGCTGGCTAATTGCTCCTTGTTTTTGGTTTGACACGTAAAAAGCCGTCCCGCCTGGCAGACCATTCGACCATTCGTCTTCCTACTTCATGCGGCCCTCTGAAGTGCGTTTTTAATGCGATGCTTGCAACTTCAGGCCCGCCGTTGGTTGGATTCAACTGATGGGAAGCTGCTGATGTTATGCCTTACGGGAAGCAGGTGGAGGCCAGCACCCGGCCCGCGTACCTAGCTGTAACTGGTGCGAAGTCGGGCTTCGTGTGGAAGCAGGGGCTCAACACGTTTTTTGGTAGTGTAGGAGTTGGTGCATATTTTGCGTGTTGGGACGCAGGGGGTCAGCAAAGCAATTATTCAGGTGCACCGGTGTTCTCTCAAGGCGGGATTGTGCTTGTGCCTTTTCACTGGGAAAGAGTGGTGCCAGCGATTGATTGTATTTGCCACCCCCCCGTCAGCTCGCATTTACAAGAAAAGGTCGCCGCCTGACAGTCGGGCCCTTCCTTGAGGTCCAGGTGACTTTGTTGGATCGTGGCTTCTCAGCACTGACTTTTTCAGTTTGGCGTGAAAGTTGCCGGTAACCTTTGGAGTTTGGTGAGAAACTTTACTCAGATCTGGACGGGCTTCTAATCTTATAAACAGCAATGTGCACTCAGTGCGAATAGGTGCACACATGTATCATGACAGCTGCAAATGTTGGCATCACACGCAATTGTTCTTGGCACAAAACAGCGAACAACAGCTTGTATTGTGAATCCAAGGGATTGAAGGGAGTTCCAACATGGCCCCCCAAGAACATGCCGCACATTGATAGCACACTGGAAGGTATCCTTAATAATTGATTCATTCGTCAAGCTGCTTTCGCGATTAGTGTCCCACCTCGACTTGCCTCAAATGCGAATTCAGGGCAAGTAGGTTCGACAGTAGCCTATGACAATACGGCAAGTGCAGTCCGGTGGCATTTCCGTATCTAGACAGACGCATGGCTTGGGCGGCCTACTTCAGTCCATTGTTGTACTTGTAATAGCAGCTGCTTGCAACTCACGCTATCGTAAACCGGTCACCAGATGCGAGCAACAGGTCTTGCTACAGATGTTGCTCGATTTACGGTGGCATGAAATGTAACAGCCATGATTACAAGTGCAGCAAACAATGGTCCGGAGTCGGTTGAATATGCCGAGCGTCTTCAACTTTTCGAGACCTGCAGATGCTCTTAAAAACTCAAGAGGAAGACTCCAGTGAATGCGTCCTTGGTAGAGTGCAAGGCGTCCGTTAGCGATCCGCACGGGTTAGTAAACAAGTCACGATTATGCAGAGAGATCCAGAGACAGTGTGATATGGACGGGAGACGATTTGGAGTGCGCCAACGCTATGGACTTATGACCCAGGAAAAAAAGCAAACAAGTAACACGTTTTGAATATTCAATCTAGGCAAAGAGGTCACTGCAAGGTCCTCCACTATAACGAGCTGGTGGTAAATTTCGGCAACCACTGGGACGACCACGTTTCCACCTCCCAGTCATCTACAAATTGGGCATTGTGGTTTGGGACTACACTGCCAAAGTGCAAACGCGAAAAGTAATCCTCGTCGTGGTCTTCCACCGACGCGACTTGCCGCTCAGTTCAGCCCTGACGCAAAGATCTACATGGCGCGTAGTACTTCCTACCAAAACTGCTCATGACGGGCACAAGAAATCTACAGTTTCGTTTGTTCAGCAGAAAACAGCATTAAATCGGTGTTGACAGCAAACACAGGATGATGGGGATTCATCATCCTGTGTTTGCTGTCAACACTGATTTAATGCTATTCTAAACATACGCGTGCAGCGCACACTACTGCGGTGCACGCGTATGTTTAGATATACCTCCATCAATATCTGCGCTATGATGCGGTCAGCTTCGTATCCCCTGTACCTGCCAGACTGAGACAGATGCACCTTTAAGATGAATTTTCGTCACGAAACTAACAAGGCAACGTCAACTCCAAAAGAGCTAAACCGAATGCTTCGTATGCCTAAGCAGCGAACTGAAAAAAGCAAGGGAGCGCTTATCTGCTGGCAGCCAGATGACTAACTAGGAACAACGGACACAAGTTCTAACGTACCTCATTGAAAGCTTAGGCGGGAAATGACTGGTGGAAAAGGCTAACCGGACTTCGAGCTGGTTCAGGATACTGGAGACTGGATGCGTGAGTCAAAGAGCAGATTGCATGAGCTTGCGGCGGACGGAATCGTTAGAGCAGCTATGATGGTTCAGTCAGGCATGACTGCTGTAAGGGACACACATCCAAGCCAGTAAACTTCTACAGAGGACCGTAATGCACACGGATACTAGTATTAGTGGCGCAGGCGCGCTTAGCCTAAGGGTTTTCCTGAGACGCACATAGTATGAAGATCCTCCGAAGCTCATGCGCTGGAAACACCTAGCCATAGACGAGACAGCACTAAGGGTCTCCGCTTCATGCCCTTCCGTACAATCACCGTCTCCATCGTCTTCCTGACGGTTCGCAATATCGGACTGGCAACGGTTGTGGCCAACGATATCATACAGAAACACTGAATAGAGTTATTCCAAGGCGAGGTAATGAGTCTCACTATTTCTTAATGTGGCCTCAATATCTGTAGCAACGGACCCCTGCTGTACGAGCTCGCTGCCAAAGTAACAACCACACCCTCCACATACGACATTGTGTACTTCTTGCTCGTGCAAATGATGTGCTATTCATGCAGAAACATCTTCGTGTGTCAGCAATTAATGGTGGAGGCTGCGTTTTTCACGTGCCTTCGAGCTGCGGCGACTTTGAAGGGACCGTGATCAATCGACGGAGGAGAATTTTCCGCTAGTTCCCTATCCTGAAATAAAATCTGAAGGTGCATATGCCCTCCATACTTACACTACTTCCACTTTTGTAAAATCTTCCAGCAAGCACAACTTCATTTAGCGTTAATCGCTTCACCAGCAAGCACAGCTTCAGTTACCGCTAATCACTTGCAGCTGAAGTGACCCAGTTCGGTGGCCCTGTCTGTGGGCTAAGCTGAGACAGGGATCAACTTCGCTGAAAAAATGCTTCCATCGTACTTATTCATTTTTATTACGCTGCTACAGTGCTACCTTTCTGCTCGTTGGTGCGGGTCTAAAAGCGGAAAATGTGGCGTCTGGCTCTGGACAGAGCCACGGTCAACGGGGCTGGCTGTAGAAAAGACAGTTTGCATGCCAGTGCTCCCTCCCGCGACCGATCATACAGAGGGCCTTTATTTTTTCACATGTGTTAGAGCATCGGCCTGCAATGAAGTGTAGCTCAGGAAGAGCAGCAAAGTTCCGTATTGATGTGCGGGCCTATAGCTTACTGCTTAAATATCCTACTAACAAGCCAGCTCGTTCCACTGAAACCACTGCGATGAGATCCGAGGCAACAAAAACCCGGGGTGACTACACTAACCGGAAGAAAGACGAGTTGCCCTTTGGCCAGGATGGGCCCTATAAAGAGAGGCCGCAAACGGGCACAACTCGCACTTACAAGCGTTCCGAAAGGCCATGGAGCAGCAAATCACACAGAGATATACCAAGCGCATATTGCTTCAAGAGGGAAGCAGCGCAACATGCAGCAGCGCTTGATGGGGCTAGGAAATCGCGCAATGATAAGTTTGAATCTCGGTTCACTTTTTCGCATAGCGACCCTAAATACTACGCTGAATTGCCTGCCCAACCCGCCACAGGGTGGTGGAAAGCCCTCATAGCTTCCCGGCGCCAATGTCCAGCATTTTTGGAACGGCTGTGCAGAAATCTTGACATATTGCTTCCGGACACAATATACTCGACATCGACGGAGTGTTATTACATAACAAACAATCCCCAGGCCCTTAATCCGGGCAATTCCTTCTCCCAACAGCTGTCGCTCGCTGAAAAAGCCTGCAATGGATGGATAATAAAGGAGGATTTCTCTGCATCTAAGCTCTTCGAGAAGAATGCGGCGCTGTATTTGGCCTCCTCGGGGTTTCCTGGCGGCAAAATGAGGCTGCGTTCTAGTGCCCAACTGCAGCATAGGAACCAGAGATGTACTATCGAAAGTGCAATGGCTGCACCAGCAGCTCTAGTTAAGCAGCCACACTACGCAGCAGCCAATAAAAACATTACGAAAGCACTCGATCTTCCCAGCACGTGCTCTCTTCTAGCAGACTCCTCCTCGGAGCGTCTTGTGCAAGTGCGTCATCATTGGCCACGACGCCCTCAGAAACACTACGTCCCTTTTCATGTTCTTTCTACGTTGACAAACTGTACCACAGTCCATATTACCGCAGCTTGCAGCGGTGAAAGTCCGATAGGCATACATTTGGCTGGCTTTCGCCGCAGGTGCCTGCCACACACGGTATCGGGTGCCGCTGTGTTCGTGCCGAATTTTTTAATGCAGTGACAGTTTGCACAACCAGGATCGTGCGTGGTTCTTGAAGGTCTTTGTTCATGGAAAGAAATATTCGCGATGCCAGTTGACGCGGGCCGCTTGGCGCGCAGGCAGTATGCCTCTGGGCTTCACGTTGGTCAACAAGCTGACTCCGGAAGAGGGCCGGGAGGCAAATTTAGACATTACTGGACAGTTCTGTGTCAGCTGCGACAATTCATTTCCTATCCGGAGGCCACGCGACACCGAATACGACTACAATGAGGAACATCCAGATAGTGGAGCAACAAAGCAAGCGATCGGGGGCCCCAACAGCACATTTGACGTGTTTAGCTTATCTGGGGCTAGCCTAGCTGAAGCCTCTGAGATTGCTCGGAAGCTGACGCTGTTGACTCAGACACTCTTCAAAGTGTGGCTGGAGTCATTGGTTGTGGACCTCGTCAAGGCATGGAACGGCAAAATGTACTTTTTGCAGGTGTGTTCGTGAGCCTTTGTAGCACACATTTCTTTTAAATCAATAAAAAAATATGCAACACCTTGCATAGTCATTAGACTGCGATGCGTCAAAACTGCACAGGTGAAATCCTTCACATTGAGACAGACCGGCCCTCGCGTAGATTCTGCGCTCAAAGTGGACGACAAGAGTGATGATGATGATGAACCCCTTGATGGAGCCTTGAAGGCTAGCACTGCTTTGCTCCGGAGACAGCAAATCTCCCTAGCACAGCCATCGGTTTGCGCGATGTGCGGACTAAGCCGCAGCAAGAAGTCACTAAACCGCATGTTGAATCACCGAATGATGCTGGAAGCTCAGCATCACATGCGCAAGAGGGGAGTGGAAATATTGTTTTTTCACCAGGCAAGAAAGCAACAGCTCTCAGCCGAGTCTCCCGTCTGCGGTACTTGCTACTCACTGTACTTAGCCGAGAAGGAGCTCATCCTGCTCGAGGCAGAACTGGCTAGGGAAACTGGGCAGCAAATTAGTGCTGAGGCTGGAAAGCTTTGTTTTGTGACGGGCATTCTCGATGCAATTCAGGTAAAGTCAGGTAGAGGCCGCTGTGGTGTTCAAAGCACTTCGTTGGCCTAAGACTGGCACGCACACGCCGCCAATGAAATACACAAAATATGCTGTTGTAGTTATTTTGTTATTTTGCACCAGGGAAGTTTTTTGACGAAGGACCCTGATCTTTTAGAATTGCTTCAAGCCTTCGACAACTCCTGTCAGAACACGGAGGGAGCTGCCACCGGAGCTGGTCCTGTTGATGAACTAACCGACGACGCACCAGAAGCCTCTAATAACGAAGACATCCTTGTAACTCTACAGAAACACAGAAGCAATGCTGAGAATGACTTTCTCTTGGGAAGGCAAGATTCTGATGTTCCATTGACAAGAGATGCGCAGGGGGGGCTAATTATTTTCCGTGGAGGTGAAGCTATCCAATCGGCGCCGCCTCCTCAACCATACGACCTCGTGCTCCCTGCAGCATTGTATCAGTGGCGTCTCATGCTGTTCCTAGACTCGCTGCAGGACACCCCTTCACTGCAAGGTTCAGGACAGCAGAAACCTTGCCTGCTGCAACTAGGTCTCTTTGGGACCACATCCCCCGTGCAGTTGCCTGCCCCAGATGAGCGGGGAGTTGTGCGAATTCGTCGAATGCTTATATTCTACCTCTTCTCAAAGAAGCCGATTGTTACGGAGGCATTTAAAGAAGAATTGCACTTCTCCTTACGGTGTGGTGGCAACGCCAACCTCACGAATCGCCCCACCAAAGTCACGGATGGCAGAGCCCAGTCCGCTGGAGCTCAGCGGCCATCCATGTTTCAGTTAACAGCGAAAAGCAAACTCTTATGCAGTGGCACTTCAGAATCCTACGAGCAGCCAAGTGCAATGGGCAGCTGTTCTCTGGATCGGTTGGCGGGGAAACGGAACGTCAAAAAGCAGACTTCTGTTCTCCTTTTCGAAGGGAGCACTGGCAGGTGCAGACTGGGTATTACCCTAGGCCTGCACAGGGATATGCAGGTTCCGACTCAGTATGTCTCTGTAGTTCCATTTCGTGATGTGTTCCTGTCCCAAACTCCGTACTGTTGTTCCTGCCCCCTCCCAGCGGAGTGGCTGGACTGCTTCATGGCAGCCTCAGAATCTTAAATTTGCAACGGTACTGCAGGTTCCGCCCCCAATGATTTTTTACATCTAGCGCGCACCCGTATGTGTATGTAAGCGAACTGTGGCAACATAGCTAGAGGCCGTCAAGGAAGCTGGCAGTACACATGCGGGACTGAAAAGTAAGCTCGGGTCACCAGCAGCCCTATCTATAATCCTGCAAGCATTCTCTGTTAGCATAGGCACGTCGTAAATAACAATACCTTTATTACTCAATCAAACCCACAAGAGATTGAAGTTCGGCCAGTGCAGCATCAACGCCCAGGCAGCCCGCTGGAGGGCGTGAGCACGTTTCCCCATGAACAAGAAACTATCTCCAATGTACTTACGGGCAGGGAAAGATGAATGCCGGCACACAGCCACACATGAGCTACGCCAGCCCACACAACCCATACATGATATCAAACACGGGGGATAGTTGTGACGAAAGAACCATATCCTTCCGTACCTTCGGTACTTGGCTTTACAAGAGAGGCATTGAAAGGACGAAGCGAACGAAGCTTGCGTCCAAAAATGGCCTGACAGCTGTAAAGAACAGGCAGCTATAACTCCGTGCAAAATAGATTATCTTCAGGTGAGGGCTGCGTTGCGGCGACGTGCCACCCCAGCGTGAAGTTATGCTACAGTGCGCTTTTCAGCAGCAGCCGATGCCTGAGCAGATGCTTGCTTCTCCAATACCTTCTGGTTCAGCGTAGCCACAAGCACCTCTAGCTGCTTCTGTTTCTCACTCAGCATTTTCTCTAGCTTCCCCTGTTGCTCAGACACGAGATTCAATGTCCTGCACGCCACCATAGAGACAAGCAACGCATTTCCACAGCATGGAGGGGCCATAATACCCCACAATAACTGCTGTATTTCAACATTTACAAAAAACCGCGAGTTTCACCTCTCTCCATCTCTCTTGGCATCTTTGCATGTCTTTTGTAGCATGTATCCTGCTCCGATATCCACTAGAACCTTATCGTCGCACTGAAGTCGACCCTGCACACCAGGCAGAAACAAGCCGCTGCGGTGTCTTAAAGCTAGTGCAGAAATCCTTCTCCAAAGATAAATTCCCACTTTTCCATGATCTTAGCAGATACACGTATATATGCCAACAATATATAGTAAGTTGCTACCTTCGCGTAGAGTGCACCAGTTAGCGGCACAAGAACTTCTGTTACTTCCCCCTCCTTTCGCTTTTGCATGTGGGAGTCAAGCTGCGTCAGCGCCTCGCGAGACTCCGCGAGGCGAGCTGCGGCCACCCGTAGTTGCGATAGGTGACTTGATAGATTTTGAAGTTCCTGCGAACAGCAAAGAAAGCATTTCTCGGCTAGGAGGCTACAGTGGTGGAGTGGAACATAGCGGAGTTCTAGCGGACAAACTGCAGAATCGAACTGCAGTTCGTCCTCTAGAGCTCTGCTAGAAAGATAAAAGCAACGGGATAAAATGCAACCGCTACACAGGGCGCGCCTGGTAATTAGGTGAAATGCACTTGAGGGTCGCGTCGCAGTATCTCACGCACCGCTTCCGTACGCCTCGCAAGTGCGCTACACTGGTTCAGACTCAGGCTATTCAAGTTTGCGATGTGTTGCTCGACGGTGTCAGCAGGAGGAGCCCCCATTTCTGCAGCAAACAAGCATGAGAAGCTTCCAAAGTAAACAATCGTTTGTGCAGCTCCTTCATCTTGCCTGCTCAGTTAGCCTGGATTGAGTATGACTACGAAAGTGATTTCTTGGCCATGCTAGAGCGAACAGAACGGATAATATTTCGCAAGCACGCACTGTGGAGGGTTACCCTTGCAAGACAGCCACTGGCTTGCTCACGGAGCCTTGACACCGTGGAGCTTGGAATACTGGGAAGTCTGTAAATATAAGGGGATCGTCTGTAAGCATTTTCAACTGGGAGCTGCACCAAAACTCACTGCCTTTCGCGCAGGAAGATGAATCGGGGGTGAGCACGAAAGCTGCCACTGCATCCAAAGCCCGTGACTAGTCGTGCTTTCAGCGCCGCAGTTTTATATTCTAAGGCCTAATATTTCATAATATTGTTGGCGCGGGCAAGGTCGAGGCATTCACCAGCGAAGGGGGCTCGCAGTCTGGTCCCCTTCCGACCAGGGCTGCATGCGGATTCGGTAGAGGGTTACTTAAGAGAAATCGGTTAGTTGCTGATGCCAGTAGTGGGATTAACGGCTCTCGTTAAATTAAATTGATATTTCTCGTTTTCCCCCATCGACAACCCGCTGTTCGCGCACTCAGCCCGCCGTCACCGGGGGGGGGGCACTGCAATACTTTTCTTTCCGTGAGTGGCTTCTTCCCTTTCATTAGGAAATAAGTTCTATGAGTGCCATGACACAATCCAGACCAACATTTTTTGTACGCAGTTCGACAAACAGGCGGCCTGCTCTGAAGACGTTCACTTGATGCAAGGCGGCAACCTAACATTGGTACCTGGTTGGATGCGGCCTTAAGGAGCTTCATGTTGATGGTACTTACCTTTGCTGGGGTTTATGATTATGTATTGCCTCGTTCTTTTCAAATGAAGGAGTGGCCATAGGGCAGTCCTAGTTTGAATGTTGTGCTCCTTCGTCAACGGTAATAGGCGCCAATGACTATGGACAAATCCGTGCTGGACTTGGAGGAAATTCTCGGACCTAGAGATGAGCAACTTTTGCAGAAGCTGTCTGCTTACGAGCCTGCGGTAGGTGCTAACCTTGAATAATGGGCTTGCCCTGATTGGTATTTTCACTGAATGCTGCTCGATTGATTTCTAACCGTGCATCCACACAAGTGAACGCACGGTTAGAAATCCTTGCGTTTGCTTGTGTTGTATTTGTAACTCAGATACTCGACGAGGTTACGAACTACCATCTGAGTCGCGTAGGGTGCACTACAACGGACACTGCAGCGTGAGCAGGCACCTACCCACACAGGACTTCTTCTTTCCAGCAGCAGGTGAAATATCTTTCGTTTCAGTTTCTCCAGTGTTAGCCACCCTTTCCTTTGCTTCAGGACCCGCCTACTGTCAGTGGCTGTCCAAGTTGCGTTTGAGAAAGCAATCGAGGAAGCTAAGCTGCTTCTTGCAACATCCCGAGGCGACGTTCCACCAGGCAGCCGCCGGGCAGATAGAGGCAGTGGAGCTCAGAGTCGCACGGCCAATCGCAGATATGATCATTTGGCGGAGCCCTCTTTTACAGCAGTAGGGTCAGCCTCAGGGCCCGGCGAGGTGCGGACGCCTAACAACTTCGCCAATGGGTTATTCTCACTACGCTATTGCCTTTGGCAGTTACAACTATTAGAGTCCTTGGCCCGCTGGCTACTGTGGACTCTAGTGGATGGAAGTACTTGGTTTGGAGGTGCGTTAAAGCTGTTGCGGTTGCTGCTGTCTTTGTTCTCTAGGTAAAGGGGCTGGACGTCGAATCTCTGTGTAAGGCGCTTCAAAGAAACGGCACGCTGCCAGTGGGACCCACGTTCGATTTACTGTTGCAGCCCCTGGGACAGGAGAACGGTACACTCAATTCTTGACTACCCAAGCGGATCTGTCGCTCGAATAGCCCATGCAGAGTGTCTGCAATAGCTGCTTCAACCTGACTTCAACCGTACACATCCATGCTTACGTGCATCTGCATTTGTAACGCACTTTTTGTTTAATATATAAAAGCCGCTGCTCCAAGCTGATCCGCCGCGGCTCCTGCATTGGTAAGACGGCGGTGTTGGGCTACTTGGGAATAAATGAGACGGGAAGGCCCTCCGCTTCTGCTGTCCATCATTGTTTCTTAGGAAACAAGGGACCTCAACTTTGGTCAGTTAGTTGATTGTAGATGCTGTCCGCAGATACGCATATCCCAGCTTTGATGCGCCGTACTCTTGATTCCTAAATCCCCATTGACAGAAATGCGGCCATTGTTCAACAACAGCACCAGCATTGCACGGTTTCCGTCTAGATTGGTCTTCTCGTCGCTATAGTTCCTACCTTCTGCTCGAACAGCCCATTCAGAGTGTCTGCAATACCTGTTTAGAATAGGCCGTCTTCTTCCCAGGGCAGCTATTCCAAACGTATTCAGGGTGAAACGCTGCCGCCGCACCTGGCCACATTATGCCGACCTGCCTCTCTTTTGTCGCGCGTCGACACGGGCCACAGCAGTTGTGCCGCACACCCTTACGGCGTGGACGAACTTGCTGCATATGGTTCAGTTCTGCGTGGAGTTGTTCGTATGCCTCACTCCAGCGAACGGGAACGAGAAGAGGGCCGAAGCACTTGTGCACCCGTATCCTCTGCTGCAGTTGCAGAGTAGGATAACCGTTTTGCCTTAATGGCGTTCACTGTGTCTTCATCATATGTTGCATTTGTGGCTGTCGATGGAGTGGGAATGCAGGCATCCTCGCATTCCATGATGACTCCTCCTGGAGCGCAAACCTCTCGCCTGAAGACGGGAGGTATTCGGTTGCTCAGGCCATTCATGTAGCTGCTGGATTTCATATGCTTGGGTGCTATGCATACGAACCAAGTTCACCAGCTGTGCTTATACGCAATATTCACAGTACCCTCGTGGCAAAGTAGGGCACCCGGACTGCATTGGGCCTAATGCTTGTAGGGGTCCGACGGATGACTCACTAAAGCGGCAGAATGGGGATGTAGGTTTATATGATTGCATATATGATTACTGGGACGTTTACTGGCCCCCCTATATTTGTGGAATGCTTCGCTAACTGCAACAGTAGGCCGTCAACCAGTGGCACGTTGCGGCTCAGGGTGGAGCGGCACAACGGAACGTAGCCACCTGCCTCACTTGCCGGCTATTATCTAGCTATACTCTGAACTGATATGCAACTCTAATAAAACTGTGTTTCAGAAGGAAAAGTGGGTCGAGCAGCGCCGTGAAATGCCCTCCAGCTACGACCGCCGAAACGGGCCAGTGCCTCGGGGCCACAGCAGCGGAGACACACCCATACATGCGCGTATCCAAGTTTTTTTATAACTCCGGTTGCCTTTGAAGACAGTTTGCAATGATTTTCTTTCATATAGGCTAACTGGTGCTTTGACTCCGAAGGAAGTATCTGTACGCTCTCTGATCTCTGGTCATGCCCTCGGGGGCCCTGGGTGCCCTGCCAATTGATCTATTGGAGGAATGCCAATTCTTCCAGCATGAACCAACTGCACTGTTTTAACGGGAAGGCTCATATTTCCCGAAATGGGATCAGGCGGCGCAATATGCGCAATAATTTTTCTCTTGGCCTTTTCATTCTCTCGTGGCCTCCTTGCGCATTGTCGGCAGCACCGCCTTGCCGTGCCAGGTACGGGCTTGGGAATTCAGAGACTGTTGAGGAAAGGCCCAACTCTATTCGAGTTGTTGAGTCAGCAATCTCCTTTCGCTGAGACCCGAACCATACAATGGACCTCTCCCGTCTCGAACTTGCCTGGGACTCCCCCATATCCCCCGGAAATTGGGGCGAACAGCAACAGGACCGGCGGCAGCCTCACCCGTTTTGAAGGTAACCAAAGCCATAATCTAGCGCTGTTGCCCTCAGCTCACATGGACCTGCTTACATGGAGGCGGTGGGCGAATTCTTCTCCATGAACCGGCGCATGAACGCACTATTGCACTCGCGCTTCTGGTGCTGTACGCAGGCACACTGTGGGACGAGAGGGGAGCCAGCATCCCACCAACATCGTTGGTGCAGCTAAGGCTCTCCCCTCTGGATGACTCAGCTTTGGCTCTATACCATAAGGTGTTCAGGGAATCAATTCAAGGGACGGCAAAACCTGGTATGTTGAGGGCCTAGTTGGACGGTAGATGCAACGAAACTTTGATCATCTCATTATCAAGGTTTCGTTGCAAGCGAAACGAAAGTCTGCTTCTGTGTAGACCACATTTCAAGGGGATGCCCTGAAATGAACTCTACACAGAGGTAAAGTTTCCCTTAATATGCAAAAACTACCCTTTCCTCTTCTCCTTTGACTCAGGCTTCAACTACGTTTTGACGCACTCCGCAATGAGGTCTCTAGCAGTCACAAACCTCATCATAGGGAGTTTGCTACCTGAAGTTGAGAAAAAGCGAGCATTCGTAAGAAAGATTGGAAAGGTCGTCGGAAAAAGTACGTCTCTCATACCTGAAAGTTTTCACAAAGATCACTCCCTGCAACTCTGCAAGAGCCGGGCAAACGGTAAGCACTTCTCACCAACTTGTGTGATGCTACACAGATAATCCAAAAAGTGATGCTGAAGAAGAAGCAGAAATCAAAGAAGTGGTACAGGTACTAAAACAATTCTCAGGAGCCTCCTCTGCAAGGATCCGAAGCGACAGTAGTGTAATGTCAGCAATCCAGCACATAATCTGCAATGTGCGCGAAGGAAAAAGTGAGTCAAGCTTGAACTCGTGCTGTGCTTTCAGTCCACGCAACAGCTTTTTTTTGCCAAGTCTGATTTTTGCCGTGTACACAAGTGCACGCCCTACTGTGTGCATAATAATAACAGTGCATACTGAGCTCGTTGCTAAGAATGTGGTGCAACTGCTTGTAGGAAGCGGCTTTGCTGGGCTGTTCGAGTCGTTAGCATCAGAGTCGATTTTCACCATTGCCCATAGCATTCTCCACACCGGAGCAAGCTTAGGCCTTTCGCTTCAGCCCATGCTAACCTCGGGGCTAAGACTTGTCCAAGGCTGCGTAAAAATGGCGATGAAGATTCAGACTATGGCAGGGCCCGCTCTGCTTTTACCTGGAGGGGTAGTGGGAACCGTTCTTCAGCACTTTCTCCGGGCCTTTAATCTCATTTTCTTCCCACCGCTGTTGGCTGTCACCGGGGGCCTTGCCGGAGCAATGGGGGTGGCATGCTTATTGGGGGTGCCAACAGTCCTTTCCGAAATCTACAACTTTGTAAGCACCAAGGTACTAAGGGGTGTAACTGCAGTCTACAAACATACTCAGCGTAAGTCCGGTGCTTCCATAGTCCTTGTTCTTCTAATTGGGAAGCGCATATCTCGGTTGCTTTAGTTTTCGTCCACGGCCGAACACTTGCAGGACACTAACATGCCTAGGTGATGAACGCATGGGAAGACCCCTCACGCTCAAGTCAGGAGAGACCAAGAATGGCGTGCGTTCTTTTGGCCTGTTTGCAGTTTTTCGACTCCGAAGTGACCCTCACGGGGTTAAGATTTTGAAGAGTGCCTTTAGCGGCAAATTTGTCTCAATGCTTACACAGCTATGGCAGCTGGATTCCGTTGGTGTGGAGACACTTGAAAATTCGGTGCCACACATGACTACGTTTGCCAGCGAGGTGTTCTCCCAGGGCTTCCTCAATGGGATTGTTCACTTTGCTAGGGAATATACTTCGCTAATAGAAGAGGAATACCTTACAGGTTACGAAGATGCAACGGCCAAGTGCTATGTGCGCCTGCATTCGAACCTTTCTAGTTAACGCAGATGGCTTTGAGGCGGGATTTGTCTGTTGTTCTACCTCTCCACCGGTTTGTGTATGCGAGTGTGCGCATATGTGTACAGGAACAAGGTGTTCTGCTGACAGAAACCAAATTAACTGTAGGTTATTGCACAGCACTCAGGCAGTGTTCATCGAATATTACCTGCTGGAGTTAGCATACCTTACGTGTGGAAGCCTCATTTTGTGCGCAGTGCGAAGGGACATTTCGACGGCTAGAGGCGTTTTCCACCAGGTCCAAAGCAGTCCTAAACTTCATCAGCTGGATGGCATTTCGGGACTACATTACGGAATTGCTGCTCATGGTCTACAATACCGCAAGACTTTCGCTGGAGGCGCAAATAAACCGGAGTGAAAACCCTTCTATGGAAACGTTGAGGGCTGCTTTCGCTGCAATTGACTTGCAGGATTCCTTAGTTGCGAATATCGTAGTCAAGCCGAGGCTGCAAAGGGATGTTCACAATTTTACTTCCGGAGTAGTTGGCATTAGTAAGTGTCGCCTTTTGAGCCTACGCTATTGCACTGGGATGCCTCATTACTTAGCCATCTAACAATAAGATAAAACCTATGCTTGAGCTTTTTATGTTTCTGTGTTGGCCACAGCAACATTCTTTCTGCTGCGAAAGCTGCACCGATGGAGGCCATGGCCGGCGGAGAAGGCCCCGACGGTCAGCACAACTGTTTTGGGGGCTGCTGCACAGCAACAGTCGGGAGAAGGAAAACGCGAAGACTTGTCCCTAGTGACGCAGCGATTGGAAGCGCTTGCTGAGGTGGAAATGCCACCAGAGTTGGCGATGGCTGCTCCAGAACTCAAGATAGTTGAAGACAAGCCCGTCACGTCGACAGAAGCTACTCTTTTGGGGACGTATGCGGTCAAGAGAGATCAACTAATGATGTCTCTCTTGCGACGATCTCTACAGAAGCTTATCGGGGCCCTTGACAGCCTTTTTGGACGCCTAGAAAAGATGGTTAAGGCTACCATAGGACGAGACAGGGTCCATACGTGCAAATTGGCCGATCGGAAACTGTGCTTCAACACCGATGAAGCGACTAAAGCAAGATTTGCTGTCTTGCAGTTTGTACTGGCTGCTCATCTTGGCGTCTCCATTGGAACTGATGAGAAACTGGTTGAATCTCCACAGGACTTAAAGGATGATTTTATGCTCTTTGTTAAAGATGCAGCGTGGTTTCGCTATCGTTCCCGTACCTTAGGAGGTCTTCGAAGGAGAACTCGGTGGGGTCTTGACATCCTAGTAGATCACTTGTTTCCCCAGCGCAAGGAAGAAGACAAAAAAGAAGACCCTGTTTCAAAGGAACACTTGACAACAATTGAACTAGCAGGTAATGCGGTTGCGGCCTGCACATGAATTCCCTAACAGGCTTCTGAGCTCTCCTTGCACCACTACGGACCACCCTGCAGGCCCTTGCTACTAAATATCGCTGCGCTATTGTGCGATTGCATTCAGTGACCTCCAATCAGGTCGCAGCAAGCAGAGCTGTTAGGAAGCTAGTGAGTCTACATACATGTTGCCGATGGAGACAGCAGCGTGCCTACTGGCTTGCACGTGTCCTCAGAGAGGCTGTGTATCCTATACAGCGCAGAGATCACCGGTTTGGGTGCTGTTTGAATGGCCCTGTTTTGTATGGAGGATGCTTGCTTGTTCAGTTTAAGCTGACTCGCCTCCAGTGCCTCAACAACGGCGCACTTTTTGTGCTGACCACGGATTCGGGAAATACCAAAGTGTTTAGGCCAGGTATTAACAAGCAATGACTAGAATGAACTTCATGAGCGCAGCATATGGCGGTGCCATTCTTGCTGAGTGAACAAGGGACTGCCTTTTGCAAAGCGCAGCCTACTTATTGTCTTGGTTTGCACATCCGCAGAACCTCCCATCACGCTTGAGATGCAAAAGAAATTGTGCACGCCGGAACATGAATTCATCAAATTCAGCGCTACGTACAAGCAAGAAGACGTGGGAGGCCACTTGCTAGTACCAGGCCATGCGGACATTAACGGATTCATGGTCGACTCTGGAATTATCTTGAGGGCAAAGCATAACGACGAAAGTGCTGCGTACCTTATAGAAGCAGCCCTTTGGGCTAAAGGCATTCCTCGCATCGATGCACTCATGGTAATTATGTGCATCGCTGCTTCACGGACTGGGTGAATGGTGATATCAAAAGAGCTGCATCGAAAAACATTTTTGAAGACTTACAACTAATTAGGCCGTGGCTTGCAGGTAGACCATGCATAGACCTGCAGGAAGCCCGCAGAGGAGGCGCTCCGCACCAACCAAAGAAGCATGCGGTTTTTGATTGTTTGTATCAGGCAGCAGACCTCCTTGTGGCGACGAAAAGAATGCTTTACACCGATAGGAGCTGGGAGGAGTTTTTCAATGATTGGACCCCAACAGATCTGGATTATGTGCAGCACCATCTTTCTTCGGGAATGCACCTTGACAGGGAGAAATACGTGGTCGAAGAGCGAAAAGCTCTGTATTCCCTTGATTTGTCGGCCGATGGGCTCCTCGAACTGCTGGTTAGGTCGCTTGAATCAACTTTTATCACGGCAGGTGCGACCCATCACAGTGCTTTTAAGCGCCTTCTTAGTAGCATGGGAAGCGGAAGCATGTGCACCCACACAACTGGTGACTGTACAGTGTTCCGAGAAGCTGTTTTCCTGTTGTATGTAGGGAGCTTAAATGCTGGCCTGTCGGATTTGGCACTGATTTTCCCTGCCACTGTTGGACTGGAGGCCTTGAACATGGCGGAGAAGAATGTCACTGGTCTGACGAGCATGTTAGGAAGGTTCCAGGTACTGTTGTGGGACGAATATGCGGCAAAAAAACAGCGGAGCAAAACCACTCCAGTACTGTACCACCTCCAAAGCTCGGTAGACTCTGCAGCGCCGCCTCAGCTCGCGAGGAACGGCTTTCTCAGGCCTTCAATCAGTGACGCCTTTGCTCACGAGGAGGGAACTACTGACCCCCTCTATGCCGACTGGTGCGAAGAATTATATTCGCAAGCTAGCAACAGCCTTGACGAACCTGGCGCCGCCAACTTAGCTGCTCAAGATGCCGGCACCATCCAATGTGCACTACTTCGCTTCCTGGGAAAGCGCCAGCAGGTATGTCCACCCAAACCAAAGTTAACGCTGTCAGTTGGGTTCCGCCTTCTACGCCAACCTGCATATACAAGCTGTAGAGAACCTGCGCGCAATTTCAGTCGTTACTATTTCAGACACCTCGCATAATTTGAAGAAAGCCAGTCTTCCTGAACTCCTCTCCGCGTTGCCTTGCAGGGGGAACCGACTGAGAAGGAGAAGAATGCTGTGTTCAAGTATCTGCACAATGTGACCGAGCTTCTTCGCAAGGCAAAGAAAACCAATAGGTATTCTTGGAAAAGGTACTTAAATGCGAAACCCCCAAGAAAAGGTGAAAATCGCGAGCAGGCAGACTCATTTCGGGCAGCCATCAAACGCTCGCTCGTCACTCTAAAAAAACGCGCCAGTAGAAGCTCAGGAAGAATGGCTCACAAGATTAGGAGTGAAGCAGCAAAAAGATTCTTCGGAATCCGGTAAGCACGGAGACTACGACACTTCAGCCCATTTTCTGTCTGAAGAGCGCTGACCTCAAGACGTTTTCTGGCATATAGTGAACTTAACGCCTTCATCACTATTTTTGTGCGTTTCAGCGTTTTCAATATTCTGCGAGGTTCAGAATTCCTTCGAACACTGCACTTAGCTGCGGTGGAGGCCTTTGCTGACCAAGCTTTGTTTCCTAGCAGAGTACTCCTTCACCCCACTACCCTAGCTGCTTTTACACGCATCCGCACCCTGATGAAGTTTGAAGTAGTTCCGATGATGGGTCGGCCTGGAGGAGCGGAGGTCATCACGCAGATTAAAATGATGCCAACACCGTCTCCTGCGATGAGAAGTAAACATCTACCTGCATTAGTAGTTCGCACATTAGCTATTGGAAAGTGCAACTTCAAACTAAATATTTCCAGTATGGATACGACAATGTTGGAGGAATACCAATGTTTTGAATGGAAAATATTTTGGTTGTGCCTTCAGGGCTAATAAAACGGCTCGAAGCTCAGCTGAAAACAGCCAAAACGAAGTTCGGCTCATCATACAGGCGTCATATAAGGCATTGTGCGGGATACCTTTCGCTCATTAATATTGCATCGTCCGCTCCAGCGTTTGTTGGCTCTCATCTGCCCCGCCTATTTTCTCGTTTCGTTTCCCTCGTGGACCAGCCCACATCAGCAAGCAGGGGAGAGTACCTCATTACCCGTCGAAGCCTTGCGTATTTGGAACAGGCAGGAATGAAGCTGGTCCTCAAAGCTGGCGATGCAGTGGCTTTGCTGGAAAAATCCTCAATGGATCCACCAGTGGAACTACCTGTCCACCGGACCCTCGGACTGCTGAGCAACATTGCGCCCGAGAGCCTTCCGCTGGCTACCGGTATTACTGCACGCCGAACGCATCGGCCTAGCGTATAATAATCTTGCCCACACTTTGCTGTACTGAGACCCTACTGACTGCAAAGAGCTCATTCCGGACAGATATAAGAGAAAAGGTGGCCTTGAGTTTGTCTGATTTGATACTGCAGCTGGAAGAAAGCTCCACCACCCTCGACTTGGACGCGCTAGCTTGCTTCTTTTCTGCAGTTTGGCCATCCCAGCGCTTGCAAATCCGAATCATGAAAGAAGGCGGGAAGCAGCTTTGAAGCAGATGGAAGAGCTGCGCGAGGTGTTGACTACAGCTGAACTCCCCCTGTACTTCCAAATTGACCAGGAGGCAACCTCTTCAGAGCTTGATTTCCACGACTTCGAGTCGCTCATTAGTGCAGCAAAAAATGTGCAACCTCGCAGGGAAGATAGCCGGCAAACGGAGCTGACTGCTGGCTTCCTGCTGCACGCGCCGTTGATGAAAGCATTGGAAATTATGGGTTTGGTAACTGAGACTGTGGGAGATGACTTTATTGCCTCTCCCTTGCAGTGCACTCCAGAAGGTGAGGCAGACCAATCAAACGCTGTAGCCCTTCATTTTCGGTCGAGTGGCTGGGATACGGTTGAGCGGTACCTCAGCCCTTGTGAAATATCTGTTGCTTTATCTCCTCAGATAAGAGCTCAGGGACCTCGTACACCATACCAGTCAACGGAGCAAGCCGCCTGCGCATGATAACGTCGATGCTAACCCAGCTGGGGGACGCAGAGGATGTAATGGAACGCCTAGAGGCATCCAACATGGCTGCTGTGAGCACGCGAGAGGGATCTACGGAGAATTTCGTAACAACAACTGCTTATACTGAAGAGCCGACACAATCCAGTGCGCATGATGGAAGCTCAGAGGAATTCGAAGAACAATCACAAACAAAGAATATGCAAATGCCGGAACAAACTGAATCATATGGCAACGCATCTTTCGAGAAAACAGACACTTCAACACAGGAGCTCACAGCTGACAGTGAACAGTGGACTGACCCACTTCAGTTCAATGTGAATACCGCACATTCCGGAACCTCTAGCGCATCTTCGGAGTTAGAAGGGAGGGAACCAGTGCGGAAATACGCTGGCGATCATGCTTTGGAGATGGCCATCAAGGCAGATGAAGAAGGTCTGCGTAACGCGAAGGCTGCTGTTCAACATTTTACGCAGCAGCTTTCGTTATTTGAGGCTCATTCATCGGCATTTACCTCTATTTTCCACACCATAGTTTCAGTTGCACAACTTCCATCTCGCCTTTTTAACTCAGTATCCACCCGATTCGTTGACCACCTGGCTACTGCTGTCCTTAGCATGCCGTGGAAAACGCAGCGAAGGTGGGTGCAGCGTTTAAGGCGGCTAGACAGAAACAAACTAAGCAGAAAACAGGCACTTCGCCGACCTGTTGATGAGGGCCGAGCAATATATGTAGCAACGGAAGCAAGCGGTAAAAGGACCCCTTTCTCGACTTTGTTTTTGCCCTCCTCGGTAAAGGAGGCCCTGAACGACATCCGCAAGAAGTGGAAACGCCTATTGAGAACAGAATATTTAGCCGTCAGAAGTGCTGCATGCAAACAAGATGCGGATCTTTGGCTGAAAGATGAACTTGAGGCGCGTGATCAGGCATTTGCTGAAGCAGCAGAAAAAGGAGAAGCCGCAAATCCCGTGGCCGCACCTGAACAGTTCGAAAAAAATCACGAGGCCCGACAGCAACTGTGCGTCCATCCACTCTGGCTTGAGCTCCGCTCTAGGCTATTGGTGGAACAAGACATGCTGGAAGCCGAACGACTTTTCTCTTACTTTGTCCGCATGGGGATCGAGAACGCCAAGTTAGTCCAGCGATCTGCAGACCAAGGTGACTTATGCGGCAAGCTAGAATGTTCACGAACATTTGCTGAAAGTGCATGTACTAGCCAAACGAACTTTGACCATCCTTGTGGACCCCTCGAACGGTACCTGAACCCATGTTTGTTCTTTCTGTTGCTTTCTGCAGCTCTAGTGGATCACCTGTGGGACCAGCTCGTAGAGATGCGCCTGCTGGGGATTACAGCTTCCTCCGAGGCCTCTGCAGCTGCCCGGGGGCGGCTGCAGAAGGCAGTGGAAAGAGTCAGCAAGAAGCGGCCATTTATGGCAATCGAAACTGTGCGTGAATTGGTCACTGGATTCCTGGAACAGCTGCTGCAAACGCCAAACATGGCCAAAGAGGGGCTTCACGAAAAGCTGGAGCAGCTACAGATAAGGGCCGTACAACTCGCCGCAACTTTCCTTCTCAGCAAAGCAGCCGGAGCTGAACAAGATGATGCGGAAGAGGCCATCAGAAACCTAGTTCGAACCCAAATGACTGAAGAAGTCACTTCAGAATTCACTCCTGGAGAGGGCCCCGGCGTATCAAATCTGCAGGCCTGGTTAGTCCAGATGTACTTCTTCGCAGATCCGCTCTCGCTGCTTTCGCGACCCTCGATTTTTAAACCTGCCGTTGTGCTCATCGAAATTCTCAACAAAGCGGCACGTAAGACCCAGAAAGGGACTTCCTGAGGAAATGCCCTGCACTTGCTCGGTACCACAACCGCTGTATCTGCCAATGCGTTACTACCACCAACAGCTTTGGCTAGCGAATCGCTTCACCCTCAAAACGATGGTACTTCGACCGTTGCTACACAGCAAAGTCCCGCTCACGAAGTGCCCTCTGTGTTCTGTTTGCTGCTTTGCAGACCCGCGTTCCCCTGTGTACACTATCTGGCGCAAGGCTCTGAAATCCACTCGTCAACTAGGAAGTGCTTCCCTAGAGCTTTTGCTGCGCCTCCCCCGTGCCTACGTCCGCTACCCGCAGAAGACGGAATAGACGACAGGGTGATATCAAGAACTCGAAATTACCAGAAGGCATGCCCTTTGGAACGGGTGTAAGCTCAGCTAGATAACTAAAATCGGACTGCTCGGTACGAATACGTTTTCTGCGAATTTGAGCTGGATTGCCAAAACGATATTTAAGGTGTCTGGGAGTGCGTTCTGAATGAATCGTGAAAAGAGGCCCCAGAAAATACCTCGCCCACGCGATGCCTCTATCGGCAGCATCTGCAACGGGCGGCTCTTTCGCATGTGTTTTATTGCACTACTTGGTGCTGCCGTTTTGTGCGGCTTTGGCAGCTTCTTCTTGCTTGGCATTCGCCAAAGCAATGAATTCCGCAGCGCGTTCATCATTCGAAAAACGGATGCGGTAGAACGTCGTATCTTTCGCGTCTTCTGCAACCACAAAGGGACAACACAATCGGGTAGCGCACGCCGAACAAATTGGGGGTGGTAAGGAATATCACCGCAGTTTCGATTAGTTTAAATCGAGCAAGCACAACAAGATCTGTAGACGCGCAAGTTGTAGGACTGTGCGCTTCAGACGAACTTGCATCGATTTTGAGTCCGGTAAACTCCACTGTATTCTTTTTTACTGGTACTTCCATAGCTCCTCCATCCGCACTGCCGCCTTCTGGCGCTGCAGCAGCTGCTGGCGAAGTCGCCTTCGTTGCAGCAGAAGCTGCTGCACGTTCAACAGGATGTCTAAATTTGACTGTTGACGGCAACACCGGAGAATTCAGTCGCAGACGGCCCGTGCGGTTGACGAAAAACAGAATACGGGCATTGGGCAGCCCCTCCTCTTCTCCCTTCTGAACGACCACAATCAGCAAACGCAAAGAATTGTATTAAAATCTGTAGCTTCCTACACAGATAATATCCGAGATACCATGCATCGGCCTTACTGCAGCCCCACATATATTCATATGTTAAAAAAATTGCACCTCAGCGAACTGCCTTCAACAGCCACAGCTGCAGCACCATCGAGAACGGCACTAGCAGCACCAATGGTAGCGGCCACCTCAACAACAGCAGCCACAGTAGCTAGAGAAAATAAAGCGCAGCAGAATCCACTAAAAGTAGCTACAGCTGGTGCAGAAACAGCAGGAACCTGCCTTGGGTGCAACGAAGTCGACTTTGCCGTCCAGAGGCGGTTTGGGGGTCCACACCTTGTTTTCCAGGTCAAAGCACTGCATGCGGCAGTCGCGCTGAAACAAAGAAAACTCGCAAAAGCTTGCATTTTATAGCAGAACAACAGCGCAAACCGGGTTAAATCCAACACTTCGGAGCAAGAGTAAAACAAGAAAGGCAAACGTGTCACAAAATCCAAGGCCTGCCCCCAAGCAAAGAAAGACAAAAAGAAGAAAAAATAAACATAGAAACATGCCGCCTCACGTCTGTAAAGATGATTTCCTCCTTGCTGTCGACGGCTGAAAATCAAGCAAAGCAGAGCGCATGACACACCCAGAACCTCTCTCTTGTTCAGCTTCAACCCTATTTACCGGGCTGCTGCTGTTGCTCCTGCTGCATGCGATAGTGCTCTTTACTGGTTGTGACGACCGTGGGTTCCTCCGGTGGAGGTGCGTCTCCGTCTTCTGCATCGGCAGCCGCGGCGGTCCCTGAGCCTTTGAAGAGCGAAGTGCCCTCACCAGCCCCAGCAGAAGGCAGTAGGAAGGAGCTGCCTGCCGCTCCCTACGCCGAATGCACACAGCAGTGGCAAAGGCACTCAGTAGACATGGCCTCGCGAGAAAGCGAAACAGCAGCAGAATACCGCAGAGAGTGGAACGGGAAACTTAGTGTGGTGTCTCACAAGAGAACCAAAGGGGCTAACAAATGCCGAAGTCCCCTTCAAAACAGAACCAAAGAGGCCTCCACAACTGCCGTTGCTGTTGCTGCTGCCAGCTGCTGTGTTTCCGTTGGGCGCTGCTGCCGGAGCTGCTTCAGCTGAAGCAGTACCAGCAGAAGCAGCACCATCACCGGCAGCTGAACGGGCGCCGATGCCACCACTTTCAGCTCCTATCGATGCGTTTGCAGCCTCTGCTACAGCAGCTGCCGTTTTTTCAGCATCAGTTGCGGCAGAAGGTGCTGCAGCGGGTGCTGGAGCACCTGCTGCAGCACCTGCTGCAGCACCCGCTGGAGCACCTGTTGCAGGGGATTCCGCCGTCTGTGGGGCCGGTTCAGGTGTCTGCAGAAGCAAGTCGCTGAAAAACGAAGGAGCATCAAGATATCCCCCCAAACACAAAAAAACGAAAATATGCGCATTTGCTGCCGTTCGGGGAGGGGCCCCACCTGCTGCAATCTGCTCTCTGCTGCGGTTGCCTTCGCTGGCTGCTGCTCCGAGCAGATAGATGTAGGAGGCGCATGCGCCCGCACGATTTTCAGTCGACTGCAGACAGAGCAGCAGCAAAACCGGTAGCAGCGGCACGAGTGATCCAGTGGCCCCAAGAAGCTGCAGGCAGGGCAGCAACAACAGCCGCCGCCGCAGCCGCTGTGCTGCAGTAACTGTGGAAGGAGAGGCATCCCTCAACTCTCAGGACTGAAAGTACCGTCTGTTTTTTAGGGTCTCCGCATCGGCCTCCTTCAGGTCCAGAGAAGCCTCTGTTTCTGGCTGTTCTTCCTGCTTGCCTTCGCCCTGCACTTGATCTTTCGTCAGCTGGACGGCGGGTTTGCGCTTACTGCATGCACTCTCCTGAGAAGACACCAGCATAAGCGACCGCTAGTGCATGCATGAGAAGAAGAGAGATAAGCAGGCAATCAACAACAGCACAACAAAGCCGAAAAAACAGTCATCCCCTGGGTCAGGAGACGGCGGGTGCGAGCGGCCGCGGCTCAGAGGAGGTTCACTAGAGGAGCGTTTCTAGGAGGGCAACGAAAACAATAAATGATGCATAAGCATTCAGTAGCTAAAGACAGAAGATAAAAGAGCGAAGGGTAAGCAAATACCATTTTTCTACACAAGATGAAACAGCGAGGCGTGGATGCTGGCAAAGCAACGGAGTGCCGGGCAGATTCTCCCCTTATCTTTAATGACCTGACAACAGCAAATGCGTCTTCTTTTCAAAATGAACAGGTAATTAATGAAAAGAGGAAATCCATATGAGCAGCATTTCGCCTACCAACCCCCCACGAACGGGGCTGCGCATGCATGCAGTCGAGTGCAGCTAATTGTGGCCGAGCAGTAATAAACCACCAACGGAGAAGAAATACATTGAAAAAAAGCGCAATATTGGAATATCGTGTCTTTGGAAGTGAAGCAGTTTCGTTCTTTGCGTCGGCTGTTCTTTTTGCAGCGGACCCTAACAACAGCAACGGAGGATGCATCGTCGTTTCTTTAAGAAACACCGCTTTTGCTGTCTGTCTTATTCTACATGCTGTTCGCACAAAATTCTTCGTTTCTTGAACTAGGAAGCCCTGGTTTTGCTGTCTGTCTTCATCTGCATGTTGTTCGCACAAGTGAACAGGAAGGCTTATGCAACTAAAGCTGGCTGTGCATTCCCCTATCTAACAGAAGAGCCTCCCGTATGTACCGCCAGCTCCCTTAATACGAAACCCAGCACACAGCTAGAACAGCGTATTTTCTATACGTACACTGAATACTGGAAACACGATGTGCTATACACTGAAATACTACATACTTCTTATACACTTCAAAAACCTCCTCCCTCCAATATCCCCCCTCGGAACTTACGGGGCCCCTATGCTCTACTTTTCACGTTTACTGCACTGACACACCGTAGCACCCCTCGTTGCAGAAGAATGCAGTAACTCCTCTCGGGCAGAACGTGTCCACGTCCACACTTCCTACCGTCCGTCACTATGGGTCTCTAAAAGGAATTGCTACAACTGCCACAGAGAGCCGTATATAACGAAATAAGCATCTGCCTTAAAAGAAGAGCGGCTTTAGGTTTGTTATTCTTGGGTCTTGCGAGTTTGTGTTGCCACACGCGCCAATAGAAAACAGAAAACGCCAGCAAGCACATTACATCATAATGTAACCGTATTCATAAACCATACGCTTTTCTTATGCAAGTAATTACATCTCACACATACTACAGATGTGTATGTATGCAGAGACACACACACGCACGTACAGCAAGCAAATAACACAACAAACAGGCCGCCGTCGACGGCCGTCCACATGCGTTACAGCTGCCTCCAGTGCTTTGTGTGTATCCTTAACACATGCCGAATAACTGAAGATGAAGAAGACAAACTGAAAACCGGGGGTGCGCTGCCCTGCGCCTTCCGCATCGATTTGCTTTGCGTGCAGAGCGGCACCACTACACTACTCACCCCAAATAAAGGCGTAAACATAGTTTATGTATTTCCATTTATTTCATATCACTCCACAACACGCAAACTCAAAACCCTGCTCCCCAAGTGAACAACCGCAGCTGCAAATGCAACTGCAGCGGCGACTGCCGCATCAACAATCGCAGCCCAGAACGCAATCGGTTTCAAATGAGTGGAGAAGCACCCAGCTATCCCTCGCCGCTGTCCGTGCATCGGCATGCCGTACTCATAAAGGAAGAGCGGCAGCTGTTGCTGCTGCTGCTGCTGCCGTTACCTCTGCCGTTGCTTCTGTTGTTGCTGTTGCTTCTGCTGTTGCTGCTGCTGCTGCTGCCGCTGCTGTTCGCTGCTGTCGCCGCACCCTTGGAAGAATCCCGCCCGCTGCAGAATCTGCCGCGGCGTGGAGTTTATCGTTTAGAGTTTCTGGAGTTTGTCTGCAACAACTTTGTTGTTTTGTTTCCTCAACTGCTCCCTTTCAAAAGCTTTGTAGTCAAACAGGCAGCCGTGTGCATCAGCGTAGCGGTGTTCGCCACAGAAGGAGAAACCGCACCGACAAGCAAAACCCAACAGACCCACCTTCCTGTTGCACTTGTGGCAGCGCGACGCTTTCCCCTGCAGCAGCAGCAGCAACAGCACATAGCAGCAAACCAACGTGCACATGCGTACCACCCATCTATCAACACCACATCGCACATGGCGGCACACAGAGGCGGCTGCTGCAGTTGCAGCGACGGCAGCAGCCGCTGCGGCAGCCACAGCAGCCGTAGCAGCAGAGAGTTGCTGAAAATCGATAACAGCGAAGCTGTTTCAGCAGACTACTTCATTTCCACCGGCAATCAAATCGAAACACCCTACAACCCATATCTGTGCTGTATCATTTAACATACACCTCAAGAACGTGCAGGTCTACGCATAGAAGCACCTGCACATACACCCCAAATGCTGCCACAACTCACCTTGCCATGCGCTGAAGCTGCTGTCCCCGCAGGCGCTGACGCCGGCGACGGCGGGGCGATCGCATCCCCTGTCTCAACCGGAGAGGAAGTTGCGGATGTTGCTGTTGCTGCTGCTTCTGCTTCTGCTTCTGGTGGTGGTGCTGCAGCTGCTTCTGCCGCTACTGCTGCTGCTGCAGCTGCTGCGGCTGCTGCGGGCGCTGCTGCTGCTGCTGCCGCTTCTGCTAGGCCAGATATCCTCTCCGACGCCCCTGAAGGAACTGTGGCGGGACCAGACCCTGCCGAAACAGCTTCGCTGTCAGCGATCTGCTGCAACTCTCTGCTGCAACTCTCTGCTGCTACGGCTGCTGTGGCTGCGGCAGCTGCTGCTGCCGTCGCTGCAACTGCAGCAGCCGCCGCTGCATCCGCGGGCTCCGCAGCAGCTTCCAGCGGCTGTTGTGCTGAGGCTGTATGCTGGGGAGCAGCATCTGCTGCAGCAGGTTCAGCAGCCTCCGTGGACGCTGGCTGCTGCTGTGGCAGTGCACGTCTGCATGCAGCAGCAGCTGCCGTTGCTGCTGCAGCACTCTCCGCCTTCAGGAACTCCCTGTAGCACTTTGAACAAAGGTTGCGGCTCGCTGGGCTGCCGTAGAAGCCGCAATTATTTGCGCACAAAGGGGGCACCGACTGCAGCACCCGCAGCAGCGAACAGCAGCAGCAGCAACGCTACAGGCCCTCTACACACCCTTCCCCCAAGCCTCCCATCCTATTGCTGCACTGGAGAAGCAGCAGCAGCTGCTTCTGTTGCTTCTGCTGCTGCTGCGACTTACAGGGCGTTCGTTCTCGTGTTGTTCTGAACTCATCTTCACAACAAATGATAGCGGGAAAGGAAACTTCAGGCTGCTGCTTCTGCTGCTCTTCCTGATCGTTTGCTGCACCGCTGCTACGCCTGATGTACTCGAGATGGTGTCAGTGTACAGTGCGGGACGTCAGCTGCCTGCTGCTGCTGTTGCTGCTGCTGCAACTCCCTGAAACAGCCGCCTCTGCAGGGCAGAAATGTCTGGGCACACCGGTCGTTGGTGCTGCTGGTAGCTGTTCACAGCTTTCGTTCGAGCTGTTGCTGCCGCAGCAATAGCAGAATAAAAAGAAGCCGATCTTGCTGCTGTTCCTAACCTCCCAAGCTGCCGCTGGCGCTGCTGCTGCTGCTGCTGACCGCTAGAGGAGCCGGCCTGCCTCGAAGCGCTACTGGCAGTTCACCTGCACACACGCACCACAACAGCGGCACAGCAAATATTCAGGAAAGGCAGCCCCAGAAGACATTTAAAATGGACTATGTACAAGAACGCCCAGAAGCAGCAGCAGCAGCTGCAGCAGTGGCACGCAGCAGTGGCACGCAGCAGTGGCGGCACCCAGCAGCAGCAGAAATAGCAACGAAATATGCATTCTCCACAGGACAGAGAAACCGGGAAAGCCACAAAAGCCTGCCCACATGCAGCAGCTTCTGCATGGCCGCAGCAGCAGCAGCAACGGCAGCAGCGAACTGACCGCTCTACAGCGCCGCAGGCACCCTTCTAGTCACAATGCAGCAGCAACTGCAGCAGCAAGAAGGCGTGGATATGCACTGCAGACTGTTGAGTCGTCTGCTCGCGTGCAGCCTCAAACAAAGCAGCAGCAGCAGCAGGACAAGCGATTGAGAGAGCGCCGAAGCAGCAACAACCGGTGGGGGGTTGCTGCAGCACGAGCAGCTACAGCACTTATGATGAAAGAAGGCAGCGATGCTGCAGCCTAACGCGCAAGAGCAGCAAAACTTCTGCCAAAGGATGCGTCGGAATGTCCTGCTGCTGCGGTGAAGCCCAATAGTGCTGCTGCTGCTACCGTTGCTGCTGCTGCTGGTGCTGCTGCAGCAGAATGTACGGGACCGGATAGAGACAGACAATAGAATGCGATGAGAGACAGATAAATGCTACTCAGGAAGCAGCAGGGAAGGGCAGGTTGCAGGCAGTGCTGCAGTCCGTTCGGGTCGGGAGTCTGCTGCTGCTGCAGCTGCTGCTACCTGCGCTGCTCCCGCTGCTGCTGCTGCTGCTGCTGCCGCCGTATTCCTGAGTGCGGGGCCTCTTCGCTAATCAATTCTTTAAATCATTAGTTCGTATGGAAACCTCCTTTCTCTTTCGTGTGATGCTGCTGCTGCGGCCTTTGCTGCAGCAGCAGCAGTAGCAGCTGCAGCTGCTGGAGCTGTGTCAGCGTTCTCCGCTCGCACCCTTCGCGCTGTTGCTGCTGCTTTTAATGCAGCAAAGAACGAATTTAGCGCTTCATATTTTGCACAAAGGAACCCTTTGAGGCATAATTTGTACAGAACCGCAAAGCATGAAGAGCATTCTAAGGATGTCGCTTTGCTGCTGCTGCTGTGCTGGCGTTGCCTCTGCTGCTGTAGCTGTTACGGTACTATCCGGAATGTTAAGATAGACGTGCTTCTGCAGCTGTTTCTGCAGTTGCTGCTGCTTGTTGCCGCTTGCTGCTGTTTTGCAGAGCCCGTCGCCAGCGTACCGTCTCTCTGCCGCTGCGCGTCTCTTTGGTTTGCTGCCGATGCTGCTGCTGCTGTTCCTGCTGGGTCCCCTGTCTTCTTTGGTCTTTCACGCGTAAGGGGAGACCCCAGCTGTTGCTGCTGCTGTTGCTGCGGGTGCTGCTGCTGCTGTTGCTGCGGAAGGGGCGCCACAGAACCTTCACCACGTCGCACACACCTTTAAAAAGTTGCAGGAAAGTTCGCACGCCTTTTAATCAGTGCTAAGGGGACGCGCATGCCTACAGTGTATGTGCAGCTCCCTGCACTGTACAGACAGTGTGTGCGAGCAAGAAGGATTAGGTTTAGCTTGTTGTTGCCTTTGTATGCTACCGACGTACCCCAGCAGCAGCAGCAACAGCAAAAAGACAAACTAACCAAACAAATTCTGTCCGCTAAAACACGAGGCATAACTCCTCGGTCTGACCTGGGCGGCGCAGACTGCTGCTGCTGCAGCAGTTGCTGCTGCCGCTGCTAAGACAGGTGCTTAAAGGCTACTGCGGTTGCTGACGGTGCTGGAGCTGTAATAGGCACGCCTTCCGCAGCACCAGCAGAAACTGCTGCTTCCGAGGCTATCAAGCCAACCAAAAAAGCAAGAGCAGCAGCAGCAGCAACAGGGTGCGTCGCTCCTGCTGCATTTGCTTTGTCGCTGTGCGGCGCCCAGGGCACCTAGAGCTGGAGGCTGTTGCAAATGTTGCTGCTGCTGCTGGTGCTGTTGCCCGGTCTCGCGCTGCAGCAACCTTAGGAACGCGCGACAACTTCTTTAAATAGCTCAATGGCGGATTTGCTGCTTTCTTTTGAAGGCGCAGTCTGTGTGTCTTCTTCCTTAGCAGTATCTGTCTGCAGCAAAAAGAGAAAAATAGTGCAGCAGACAGCCCTCTGCTGTCAGACAGCTGACAAAGAAGGAGCCAACAGATATATATATATATATATATATATATAAACACAGACGCGAAACTTCCTGAATAAGAGAATGCCATAGGGTAAATAAAGGCAGAAACGAAGTCAGCAGAAGAAAGCAGCAGTACGGCGATAAGACAAACAAGAATTCCAGCCAACAGCAGCAGCAGCAAAAGCAACCGCAATAGAAGCAGAAGTAGCAGCAACTGCAGCGTGAGCAGCAGCAGCAATAGCAATAGCAGCAGAAGCAACAGCAGCTGCAGCACCAGCAGCAAAGAAGGAGCTCCAGGTGTTCTCTCCGTCGGTCTGACAAGAGCCAAATTTTTAATTCGCAAATAACGGCGCGTCGCCTGCAGGTTGAGATCAACAGCAGCAGAAGCAGCGGCAGCAGCAACAGCAACAGTAGTAGTAGGAGCAGTAACAATAGCAGCGGCAGCAGCAGCAACGCACTCAGCATACAGAAATTCAGCAGCTGCAACTGTTGACATGAACCATCTGTAGCTGCAGCAGCAGAACGGCAGCAGAACCGCCGCAGCGAGAGGCCGCAGCCACAGCAGCATCAACAAAAGAGAAAAACAAAACAGCAGCAAAACAAGCAAAAAAACAAAGCCAAACAACAACTGCAAATGACAGCAACAAGAGAATGAAATTAAGAAACAAAACAAAAGAAAACCACGAGCGAAAGCAAACAACAGCAACAAAAAAACAAACCTCAATGCATATATATATGTATATATATATATATATATATACATATATATATATATATACAGCAAGCAACAGCATACAGCACAACCAGCCAGCAAGAAGCAACAGCAGCGACGAACAAACAAAAACAGCAAACGAAAACTACTAAGCAAAAACAAACAAAACAAACCCATTGCAACGCGCAACAATGAAAAGCAAAGACAAAAAATAAAAAAAGAAATAACGTACAACCCGCAGCAACAGGTAGCAGACCGCTACAACGGACACCATCAGCACCAGAAAAAAAGCACGAGCAGCAGCAGCAGCAGCAACAACAGCAACAGCAGCAAGCAGAGATGCCTGCGGACTTCCTTCCGTTCTATTGCAGCAGGCAAAGGGAGTTTATTTCGCTCTTTATCTTCAAGCCGAGATAAAATAGCAGCTTGCGTTTTAGGAGACAGCCGCTCCCAAATCCCAAAAGAGTGCTGCAACAAAAACAACACAATACTTTGCTTCGTGCTGCTGCTTCTGCTGCTGCTGCTTCTGCTGCTGCTGTCGTTATTGGTGCTGCTGTCGCGTAGTGCTGCTGACGCTGATGCTCTTGCTCTTGCTGCAGTTGCTGCTGCTGCTGCTGCTGCTGCTGCTACTGCTACTGCTTCTGAGTTCGACAAGCAGCAGCGGCGGCCATGATGCGTGCAGCGCTCACGAAGGCGAGTGCGTGAGCAGCCAGAATGTGCATGCTAATATTGAAGTTTTCGATGTCTTTTTTTAAAAGGCTCCCCAACTTCCAACAAAATCGATGAGGCACAAAGCCCTTCGCATTTGCTGCGGGGGGAACGCGAGCTGCGCAGCACCAACAGCAGCAGCAGCAACCATAGCAGCAACCGTAGCAGCAAAGTAGCAGCAGAAGCAAACGCAACGGGAGGCTGCAGCTGCGCCGGACCGAAGCTCGCCACCAACCGTGCTGCAGCAACTCATGTAAGAACAACAGCAGCAGCAGCAGTAGTAGCAGCAAAGCCAGCAGCAGCAGCAACAACAATGCAGCAGCAACAGCTAGTGCATGAATAAATCGAGCAACATACCAGGTTGAGCCTTGCCTTCCACCGTTCGCTTTTTGTCCTGTGGTGGTACTCCTGCCGCATGCAGCCCCGCCAGAAGATCCAGCAGCTCCTCAGCTGCAGCAAACGAGAAGTACGAGGCACATACAGTATCTACTGCAGCAGCAGCAGCAGCAAAAAGCAGCATGCAGCTCCACAGCATGAGAAAGACCTGCAGATAAGGAAGTAACAGCCCAAAGGAGACAACGGGAAGAAGAGAGAGACAGAGGGAGGAGACAAACAGAGAGACAAAGGCAGGAAGAGAATCAACCAACCAAACAAATAAATATTCACTCAAGCAAGCAAACGTGCATGCAACGCACTGCTTAGCTCCTGCAAGTGCCTCCTTAGGGCTCCGCATGCAGCCCCAAAAAAGACAAAGTCCATAGCTGGCTGCTGCTCCTGCTGCAGCTGGTGCCGCTGCTGTCGCAGCTGCACCAGCAGCAGCTGCAACAGCAGCGAAGGCTCCACCAACCCTAATAAGCGTGTCGTTCTCCGACGAGACAGAGGTGATGCCGCGTTTGCTGCCTTGTCCTGCTGTTGCTGCTGTTGCTGCTGCAGTTGGTACCGCTTTGCCTTTGACTGCTGCAGCTTTGTTTGCGGGCGCTGCAGCTGCTTCATCAGGATATTTTTGAGTGTCTGCTGTTGCTCATGGCTGACTGGCAGCGAGAAGGAGCAGCACAAAAGCTGTGTAGCGACATTAGACGCTTCTGCTGCTGCTGCTGTTGCTGCTCCCATCCTCCCCACTGTAGCCGAGAGGCAAGCAGCAGCACGGGAGAAGAGAGCGTCTACTAGCTGCAACTCCCACCGGCGCTGCAGCTCCGCTGCCGTTGCACCTACATCTACTGCGTATTCTGCTGCTGCTTCACCTGCTGCTGCCGCTGAACCTGCAACTGCTGTTGCTGCTGAACCTGCTGCTGCTGTATCTGCTGCGGCGCTGAGAGCTCCCGCCACTGCGCAGACAGTCTGCAGCAAACACACGAAACCAAAGCCGGCCCTCACCTTCATTCCTTCGTCTCACCAGCAGCAGTAGCAGCGGAAGCAACAAGAATTTTTAATTGTCAGCTCTTCGGAAGGGAGCTGCTAGCTGCGCAGCAGCACCCGCCGCAGCAGCAGCAAACAGCAAAAACCTGGAGTACGGGTCTGTCTCTAGAGGAGTTGCAGTAAACTGTAGGTTTAGATGTACTTTTGCTGGCAGCACGGAGACGAAGGCTAGGAGCTGCAGCAGCAGCCGCAGCCGTAGGGAAGAGTCTTTGAATCCGCTCCCACTAAAGAGGACAAAGGCCTTCGCATACACCCAACAAACCGTAAACCCTAAACGCTAAACCCTAAACCGTCATCTCGTGCAGTGTACGGTATTTCACTCTTGGAAGGCAGGGGCCTTCACAGGTGCAGCAGCTGCAGCATCTGCAGCTGCTGCTGCTGCGGCAGCGGGCAGCAGAAAATTAGCAGAAGCACGAGCTCACTGTCGCCAGTTGTTGAGGCGTGTAGAAGGGGACTGCGGTGTACATACACCCGAAGGCCTGCTGCAGCAGCTCTGGCTGCAAATTCCGTATTGACGCAATAAATAACAGCAGCTCCTCGGGAGGGAAGTAAGGCACAAGCAAAGCTCCTCGCTGCATCAGCCGCTCCCGCAGTGTCTGCTGCAGCTGCTGCAGCATTTGTGAAGTCTGCTGCTGCTGCTGCTGCTGCTGCTCCTGCGGCCGCAGGCTATACAGGCACACGGCCACCTCACGGGGCTGCAGCACATCTGCTGCAGCAGCAGCAGCGTGCAGCACAGGGAGTAACAGTTCGTCTGGGAGGGATCCTGGGGGAAGGAGACATTTGAGGGTGAGCAAGGAGATCACTGCTGCTGTGGTCTCCTGCTGCTGCTGCACCAGCGGATGTTGCTGCTGCTGCTGCAGACTCGAGTGAAGGCCTTCGAGGAGAGAAGGGGTTAAGAGCGTCAGATGGTTCCGCCGCAGTAAAGAAGCCTGAAGAGCAGCAGCTCAGCAGCGAGGGGACAACAGCAGCAGCACAGCAGCACGTCGACAGAGAGACGCACAAAGGACAACCAGGAGCGAGACAGAACGGAGGAGACGCCGGGAGATCGAGATAAAGAAAAAAGAATAGCGAGACAGACAAGGAAAAGAGTCTGATGGTTAGAAGAACAGATAGATAAGAGAAGAGATAAAGCAGAAGCAGAGACAGATAAAAATAATCATGCACCACAAGGAACCGCATGCAGGCAGAGATAAGCAGACACACCAACACAGAGAGAGGGACAGCAAAAGACCTGAAGAGACATACAAAGAAAAACAAAAACAGAGGAGACGGCGGTACACCTGGAGAGACCCAAGGATAGAGGAGACACAATAAGAGACAGAGACAGCAGACAAAGCGAAGGAAAGCCACATTCAAACTGCCCTGGGAAGGAGACACTTAGATGCACTCCAAGGAGACAGTAGAAAGGCAGCAGCAAGCAGCAGCAAGCAGCAGACAGCAAACAAAATGGAGGCAGACGCCACAAGAGGAGACACAGGACACTGCAGCACAACTCACCCCTGCAAGCATCACAAGAATTGCTGCTGTCTCCTTTAAAGGCCTCTCTTTGTGCTGCTGCTTCAGCAGCAAGTCCAGAAGAGACAGCTGCTGCAAACGCACGGAATGCATTGACAGTCGCAGCTGCCGCAAAAGATGCTTCAGTTGCTTCTGCTGCTGCTGCTGCTCATCCGGCTTCAGCTGCTCCTGCTGCTGCTGCTGCAGCAGCAGCTGCTGCTGCAGGTCAAGGCGCTGCAGCTGCAGACTTCTGTAAATGTGCAGGAGGGCAGAAGCACGGAAAGCTGCTGCTGCTGCTGCTGTCCCTGTTGCTGCCTGGTGCTGCTGCAGAAGCTCATCGCTGCTGCAGGTAAGCAGCAACTCCCACGCCTCCGTGTGCTGCCGCTGAGCTGCTAGAGGGGTGTCGAGTTGCTGCTGCAGGCTGAGGGAGAAGACGCGGAGGAGCAACAGCAGCAACAGTAACACCAGCAGCAGCAGCAACAGCAGCGTAACGACAGCACAATCACCCGAGAAGGAGAAGAGAGCGCTGGCACTCAGCCCGTCAGTTGCGGATGCTGCTGCTGCTGCTGCGTCTGCTGCTCGTGCTGCTACTGGTGCTGCTAGTGGTGGTGTTGGTGCTGGCGGTGGTGCTGCTGCTGTCCTCCCTCTGAGCCGTGCGGCCCTTCACCAGCAGCAGAGCCGGCTCAGGGGGCGAGGTGTCTGTACACTGAAAATCTCACCTATTTAATCCAATGAAGCTGCGCAGCAGCAGCAGCGCCACTGAAGAGACAGAGGACGAGAAGTAAAAGACAGATTCCGTTGCTGCTTGCAGCAACGTCAGAACAGAGCCTGGCGCGGTGGCAGGTGCAGCAGCTGCTGCTGCTGCAGCCGCTACAGACTGTGCTGGTGCTGCTGCTGGTGGCCCTCCTGTTTCCGTTGCTGTTGCGGCAACGGAAGATTCAGCAGCAGCAGCAGCAGCAGCAGCAGCGGGGTCCAGCAGGAACGCCGCCACTTTAGCTTGCTGCTGAGCAGTGCGGTGATGCTGCTGCTTGAGGTACACGTAATTGTCTGATTGCTGCTGCTGCTGCTGTACAGCAGCAGGAAGAGGCGTGAAGTCTGCTGCTGCAGCAAGCTGCCACTGCAGCAGCAGCTGTTGCCCCCACTGCTCCATATCCACCCCGAACACGGATGCAGAAGAAGCAGCAGCAGCAGCTGCTGCAGCAACGCCATAAGGAACAGCAGCAGAAGGAACGAGCCCAGACGTCTTGTTGCTGCTGCACAGCAGCGAGAGAGCGCGCAGCCGCAGAGCAACTTCTGTTAGATTACCGCTGCTGCTGCTGCTGTCGCTGCTGTTTTTTGACAGATGCAGCCACAGCTTCTCTGAAGACACACAACAACAGACACAGGGTAGCAAAGCAGCTCAACAGCTGCAGCAGCAACAGGGGAACCAGGCAAAGAAAATCAGCAGCAGCAACACCAGCAGCAACACCAGCAGCAACAACAGCAGCAGCAACACCAGCAGCGCAGCAGAGAGTTGTGCAACAGGTCCCGCAGCAGGCACGACAGCACCACCAGCAAGGCGCGCTTACTCAGGCCCTCATAAACAGCTTCCCCCAAAGGTTCCTTCTCCTGTAGCTGCCACATATGCTGCTGCTGCTGCTGCTGCTCCTTCTCCTGTTGCTGTCGTTGCTGTTGGCTGCTGAGTGCGGCAGAGAGCGCCAACCTCTCTGGGTTGCCGATGCCGAAGAGTCGCAGCAGCGCAAGGAAGAAAAGCAGCATTTCCTGCTGTGTACGTACACCCCAGTGCTGCTGCTGCTGAAGCACGGCGTTTAACAGCAGCAACAGCAAAGTGTCTAACTCTTGCCTGTACGACTTGTAGAGCTGCTGCATATGCTGCTGCTGCTGTTCCTCTTGATGCTGCTGATGCAGTTGCTGGTCTTGCTGCTGCTCCACCTCCTGCTGCTGCTGCTGCTGCTGCTGCAGAGCGAGCGAATTCAACTGCGCAGAGAATGATATGTCCCTTAGCATTAAGGCCTCCGTTAGGCGGAGGATGCTGTCGATGGGCAACACTTGGCTGCTGTTGCTGCCGCTGCTGCTGCTGCTGCTGCTGCTTCTTTTGAGCGCCGCTATGACCTTTTCAATTGCTGCTGTAATTGCGGAGGCGAGCCCCAAGGCTTCGGGTGTATCTGCAGTGTCTATGAACCCAGGGACAGTCTCCAGGTGTACCGGGGCAGGAGAAGAGATGCCGCCTCCTATTGTTCGTGCTGGTGTTGCCGTTGCTGCTGTTGCTGCTTCAGCTGCAGTTGCTGCTGCTGCTGCATCTGCAGCCACAGAAGCAAGAGGGGCCGTTGCTGAAGATGCAGCAGGGACCAGCAGCACAGCGAAGCGCTTGGGGAAGAAGGCGGCATAGGCTGCTGCTTGCAGCACCGAGCACGCTTGCTGCAGCAAAAGCAATAGCAGCAGCAGCAGCTGCAGCACGTGGACGGAGGCTGTACAAGTACAAGGAAAGCCCCAGAGTTGACAAGAAAGCGAAGAGATCCCCATGGAGCGACGGAGACAGACAAGAAAGGAGACAGACAAGAAAGGAGACAGACAAGAAAGAAGAGAGACAAGAAGGCAGACAAAAACGAGTAGAAGCAAACAGGAAAGGGGACAGATAAGAAAGGAGACAGATAAAAAACATATTAGAAAGGATGCAGGAAGGAAAGGAGACAAATAAGGAAGGAGACAAGTAAGAAAGGAGACAGATAAGAAAGGAGACAAATAAGAAAGGAGACAAATAAGAATACAAGAGGAGAACCCAACAGAGAAGAGGTAAAGGAGACAGAGGATAAGAAAGGAGACAGAAGAATAACAAGACAAAAGGCGAACCCAATAAAGAAAAGGAAAAGGAGACAGATGAAATAAAACAAAAGGAGGGGAAAGGGGGGGAAAGAGATAAAGAGAAGCAAGGAGACAGAAGAAATAAACAAACGACAACCAACAGAAACAAAGGAGACAAAAGGAGACAGAAGGAGACAGAAGGCCAACACGCAAGAACATCAAAAAAAGAAGAAAGGAAATAAACAAAGAGACAAAGAGGAGACAAAAGAAGACAAAGGGAGACAAAGAGGAGACAAAAGAAATCCACACTGGGGCCCGTACATCAACAAGAGTATAAAGCAGAATACTGCGTACAATAATGCAGCACTTAGGGTGTATAGACAGCGCTCTACTCTAAAGAACGAGAGACAAAAGACAGAGACAGCGAGAGTAAAGCGCTAATGCAGCGCCTCGGGTGTACAGACAGTTAATCCCCCACTGAAAAGAAAGACAAGGCGAAAAGAAGAAAGAGACAGCACCTTCAGCGGCACTGAAACCTAAACCCTAAACCCTAAACCCTAAACCCTAAATCTGATCGACATCGACGCACTGCGGGAGACAGACTATGGCACTGCAGCAGACGGCGCAGCAGCACAAGACAGTCTCCTGAGGGAGAGGGGCATGTAGGAGCAGCAGCTGCAGCAGTAGCAGAGGCCTCAGCAGAAGCAGCAGCTGGCTGTAACAAACGCTGCCTGAAGGGACACACAGCAAACTGGTGGGCACAATATCCGTATTCTGCTGCTGCTGTTGCTGCTGTTGCTGCTGCTGCTGCTGTTGCTGCTGCTCCTGCTGTGAAGCCTCCAGCAACAAAAGGAACGATGTGCGGTGCCGAGGCAAACAAAGAGAAGCAAAGGGAGAAGGAGAGACAAAAGGAGACATATGAAGAGGAGGTAGAGGAAGAACAACAAAAGAGTCAGATATATATATATATATATATATTTAACACGAGATAAACAAAGAAAGGCAAGCCACAAGGATGAGAGAGACAAAAGACAGAGAAGAATGCAGAGACAGAGTAAGCGAAAGGAGACAGCTGAAACCGCAGCGACGAACAAAAGAACAAACAGACAGAGCACAAACAAAGAAGGCAGCAGCACCAGCGAGCAGCAGCAAACAGCAACAAACAGCAGCAAGAAGAGAAGAAGAAAGGCAGAGACAAACACCGAGGGCCTGTCTACTTGCTGCAAGCAGCAACAGGAGACAAAAGGAGACAGAGATTTAAGTGTAAACACACCTGTACACAGAGACAAACAAACTAGACAAAGCAGCTGCACTGCTGCTGCATAAGGGCTCCTCCGCAAACCAAGAGAAGAGAACATCTGAAGCTGAAGTTAAACCTAAGAAGTAAAGCGCAATAACAATAAATAAATAAATAAATAAATAAATAAATAAATAATTTTATTAATAAAATAACTACTTGCATTTAATACGCAAACAAATGCAATAAACAAACAAATATAATACAAACAAACAAAATAAACAAACACATAAAATAAACAAACAAATAAAATAAACAAACAAATGCAATAAACAAATAAATCTAATACCACAAACATATGCAATATACAAACTGAATAAGTTGAACAAATGCAAAAAAAAAATCAAAGGCAGCACACAACCAGCTGCAACCGAGCAGCAGCAGCAACTGCTGCTGCTGCAGCAGCCGAGCAGCAGCAGCTCGCCCCACCGAAATTTCCGAGGGCAGCGATGAGCGTAGCGCACTCCCCTGGGGTAAACGCAAATAGCTGCTGCTGCTGTTGTTGCTGCTGCTGCTGCAGCGCCTCCTCCACAGCCTCCATGAGTCGCTGCACCTGCCTGTCCCTTCGGGGTGGCTGCAGCAGCGAGAGAAGCAGCAAACTTGAAACAAAATACTTTGCCTCTTGCTGCTGCTGCTGTTGCTGCTGTTGCTGCTGCTGCTGCTGCTGGAGTAGCAGCAATGACTCTTCTGCAACAGCAGCAAGACAACGCCAGTCCCGCCTGAGGTAGGCCTTTCTTATTCTCTCTTCACTCTCGTTACACTGCGCATCTGCTGCTGCTGCTGTTACTGCAGCTGTTCCTGCTGCAGCTGCTTGTGCTGCAGCTGTCCCTGCTGCAGCTGCTTCTGTTGCAGCTGCTTCTGCGGAAGCTGCTTCCGCTGCAGCTGCTTCTACTGCCGCTGCTTCTGCTGTCTCAATAACAAAGGCCGCTGCTTCATCTGCTTCTGGGGGAGCAGCAAAAGCCTCTAAGCACTGGGGTTGGTGCAGCACTCGGTTCAGCTGCTGCAGCTGCAGCAGCCGCAGCGCGCGCTGCTTCCGGTGATGCTGCTGCAGCGGTGTTATAGGGGTTAAGACAAGGGGCCCTCCAGAATTGCAGTCAGCAGCAGCAGCGTGAGCAGCAGCAGCTGCAGCAACCGAATATCGCCGTTGGCAAGCTGCTGCACCGGCTGGCCTCGGCGCGGAAGATGCGTGAACAGTAACTACTACTGCTGCTGCTGCTGCTGTTGCTGCTGCTATTTTTGCATTAGGTCTTGCTGCTGCAGTTGCTGCAATACCATGAGCAGCAGCTGCTGCTGCTACTGGCCAAGCCGTCGGTGGCTTTGCTACAGAGGCAGTGGACCTCCAAGTAGCGCTGCGCCGTGCTGCTAGCATGTTGCTGCAGCTGTTGCAGCTGCAGCTGCAGCAGTAGCAGCAGTAGCGGTTGCTGCTGCAGTGTGCAGCACGAGGTAGGGGCCCCCGCCCATAGAGGGCAGCAGCCCGAAGAGGAGCAGACGCTAGCCTCATTCCTTTGCCCCTCAAACCCTAAACCCTAAACCCTAAACCCTAAACCCTAGGGCCGGGGCCCCGTAGCCGAGCATCGGGAGCCGCCGAAGGGCTTCTTATTGCATTTGTTGCGGCGGTTTTCATTGGCATTTCTTTGTTTGTCTTTATAATATAAAGAAATACTTGAAGGTGTGTCTTACTCGTTTTACTCTTTAGCGTTCTATTGGCTGTAGAGGCCCCTGTAGAATTCAGTGACCAGCAGCATCGGCAGCAGCAGCAGCAGCAGCAGCAACAGCAGCAGCGGGCCCCACACCTGCACAACCGCAACGGCCGCCGTTGGAATACTTCTTTATTAATGGTGCTGCATGATAAAGATAACGCCAGTTGGGTTTAGCAAGAGCAACAATAAGTACAGCCGCAGTCGGCTGCCGCTGCTGCTGCTGCTGCTCCTGCTGCTCCTGCTCGCTGCCGATGCACTCCTCCGACCAGCACGAACGACGCCCTCCATTTCTTCTGGGATTGAGGCACTATCCTTATTAGCAGCAGCAATTTGCAGCAGCAGCAGGAGTAGCAGCACTGCGGGAGGCCTGAGAAGGCCCTTAACTGCAGCAGCTGCGGCAGCAGACGCCACAAGGGGTTTGCGCTCTTCTTGCTTCTGCAGCTGCTGCTGCTGCTCCTTCTGCTGCGGCGCCAGGCTGGAGTAGCATTCAATACCTGCTGCAGCTAAGATCGGCCGCCCAGGGCTGCTACACTTGTGAGCAGCAGCAGCAGCAGCAGCAGCAGCGGCTTCTGCTGCTGCTGCTTCCCGAGGTCTTGTCCCTCTGCGCGAGACAAAGCCATGAGCGCCGTTCATCTCTGCCTCTCAACTGCGGCCTGCTGCCGCTGATGCCGCAACAGCCGTGCCGCAGCAGCAACGGCAGCAGCAGCAACGGTAGCAGCAGCGCGAGTTGGAGCAGCAGCAACAGCACATGCTGCTGCTGCTGCTCCCGGCTTAGGCATCTGTCCTAGGCATTGGCAATCAAAGATGTGGGGTCGCGTGCGGCCTTGCAGGAGGGCGGCAGCAACTACTGCAATCGCTGCTGCAGCTGCTGCCGCAACTGGCGCTGCGGCAGCACCTGCTGCAGCAACAGCAGCAGCAGCAGCAGCATCAAGTTGCCGTCTGGGGTGTGCATGCAACCTGCTGCTCCGCGGTTCTCCCCGAGGGCTCCAAAGGCACGTCCCGCTGCAGCGTTTCTACTGGCAGCAGCAGCAACAGCAACTGCAGCTGCAGCAGCAGCAATGGGCTGCGGGTTGTTTTGCTTCAAGCCGTGGCTACGCCGCCCCTGCTCCCTTCCCTGGCGCTGCTGCTGCTGTTGCTGCAGGTGAGAAGGTTGCACTGGGCGTAGCATGGAACGGTTCCTCCGCCCGTATGTCGACAGCAGCAGCAGCAGCAACAGCAGCATCAGCGGCAGCATCGCCCCCCACAGGATCAGCAAGCGAAGGAGCAGAAGCAGGAGGAGCAGCAGGAGGACGTGCTGCATCATCGGCATCAGCAGCAGCATCATCATCAGCAGCAGCAGCACCCCAAGCTTCCCCAGGAGCAGGAGCAGCGGGAGCAGCAACAGCAGCAGCAGGGGAGAGGGAGAGTTGCTGCTGGCTGCGCAGTTTGCTGCGCTGGCGTTTGGGGCGCCGCAGCTGGAAGCGGCAGCTGCAGCGGCAGCGAGAAAGAGAGAAGGAGAAGATACTGCGTTTACCTTTGGGTGTTTCTGTTGCTCTTGAAGCCCCTATCCCCTGCAGCAGCAGACTTAAGAGAGATGTGTTATTTAATGCTGCTGCTGCGCTGCTGCTGTTTGCTGCTAGTGATTTCATGGCGCAGCACCTGCAACACACGCAGGCCCACAAACAGCAGCAGCAGCACTCGCTGCAGCATCAGCCGCAACAGCAGCAGCAGCAAGAACCTGAGCTCTGCCCGCACCAGCAACAGCATCAGCAGCAGCAGCAGCAGCAATGCGGATCAGCACATATTCCACCGCCCCTTAGCAGCACTTTGCGGCAGCTGGATGCGAGCCGCACAGTCGCTGTGGGGTTGGAGGGGGTTATTGTAAACGGTAAGGCTGAGGAGTCTGTCTCCTTTTGTCTCCTTTTGTTCGTCTCTTATTATTTATGTCTCATTCTATTTATTTGTTTATCTCTCTTTGTCTGTCTCTTACTGTCTCTTCCTGTTCATTTGTTTGTTTCTTTTGTTTGTCTCGTACTGTCTCCTTCTATTCATTTGGCTGTCTCTTTTTGTCTTTCTGCTGTCTCCTCCGGTTTGTCTTTCTTTCTTTATCGTTTGTCTCCTTCTGCTTGCCTTTTCTTTGTCTGTCAGCTTATGTTTGCTGCTGCTATTTCCACTTGCTGCTGTTCTATCTGTCTGCTGCTGCCCTGTTTATCTGCTGCTGTTCTGTATATATTTCGCTGCTTTGTTTATTTGTTGCTGTTGTCTTTACCTGCTGCTGCTTCTGTTGTGCGTTGCTGCTGCTGCTCTGCTGCAGCTTTGCTGCTGACGCCAATGTATCACAAGCTCGAAGCTATGCTGGCCCATAACAACGCCCCAGTGAAACGCAGCAGCAGCAGCAGCAGAAGCAGCAGCAAAGCTGCAACAACTGGCCGGGTAGCCTCTGGGCAGCGCATGGCTGCTGCTGCTGCTGCTGCTGCTGCGGCAGG